GTAATGTTTTGGACCCAGCTAAAGAAATGCAGCCTGTGGATGTTTATGGTAGATTCATGCCCCACGAATATTTTTCTTCATATTCAAACGACCAGCCACTTGCGGGCTCATGGTATCCTAGCCCATCCACTGAGGAACTGCGCGGGCACCAAAAGGATGGCTACAACTGGCTCATGTCGCGGGCGGCCGGACAAATGGGTCTGGACCCCCAGAGGATCCCAGAGGAAAACATCAAAAGATTACAAGAAAACTGCAGTTTTAAGAGGGTCTCATGGGTCTCCCAACCAAGGTTAAAACTTCCGAAACTCAAATCCCAGCCCCCTCTCTCCCTTGTGTGGTTGAGAGCGCCCGCGGGTTGCTCGGGTGCATCATCGGCATACACGGGTAGGGCAATGGCCGAGTCAAGGCTGTAGGTTGCCAACCTACAGGCGGCTAAGAGTGCATCACCTGTCACCAGCATACAAGGGTGGGGCCAGTGCGGGGCCAGTGCGGGGCAATGGCCAAATCAAGGCTGTAGGTTGCCAACCTACTGGCTGCTAAGAGTGCATCATCGGCATGCAAGGATGGGGAAATGGCCAAGTCAAGGCTGTAGGTTGCCAACCTAGAGGCTGCTAAGAGTGCATCATCTGGATACAAGGGTGTGGCCAGGTGCCAAATTAAGGCTGTAGGTTGCTAACCTACAGGCGGCTAAGAGTGCATCATCAGCATACAAGGGTGGGGCCAGTGCGGGGCCAGGTGCCAAGTCAAGGCTGCGGGTTGCCAACCTACAGGCTGCTAAGAGTGCATCATCGGCATGCAAGGATGGGGAAATGGCCAAGTCAAGGCTGTAGGTTGCCAACCTACAGGCTGCTCAGGGGCATACACGGGGGCAATGGCCAAGTCAAGGCTGTAGGTTGCCAACCTAAAGGCTGCTAAGAGTGCATCATTTGGATACAAGGGTGGGGCCAGGTGCCAAATCAAGGCTGTAGGTTGCCAAACTACAGGCTGCTCAGGCACACACGGGGGCAATGGCCAAGTCAAGGCTGTAGGTTGCCTAAAGGCTGCTAAGAGTGCATCATCTGGATACAAGGGTGGGGCCAGGGGCCAAATCAAGGCTGTAGGTTGCCAACCTACAGGCTGCTCAGGGGCATACACGGGGGCAATGGCCAAGTCAAGGCTGTAGGTTGCCAACCTAAAGGCTGCTAAGAGTGCATCATCTGGATACAAGGGTGGGGCCAGGTGCCAAATCAAGGCTGTAGGTTGCCAACCTACAGGCTGCTCAGGCAAACACGGGGGCAATGGCCAAGTCAAGGCTGTAGGTTGCCAACCTACAGGCTGCTCAGGGGCATACACGGGGGCCAAGGCTGTAGGTTGCCAACCTAAAGGCTGCTAAGAGTGCATCATCTGGATACAAGGGTGGGGCCAGGTGCCAAATCAAGGCTGTAGGTTGCCAACCTACAGGCTGCTCAGGGGCATACACGGGGGCAATGGCCAAGTCAAGGCTGTAGGTTGCCAACCTACAGGCTGCTGAGAGTGCATCATTTGCATACAAGGGTGGGGAAGGGGCCAAGTCAAGGCTGTAGGTTGCCAACCTACAGACTGCTAAGAGTGCATCATGCGCATACAAATGTGCATGCAAAGGCAGGGCGGTGGCCAAATCAAGGTTGCAGGTTGCGAATCTATATGCAGGCTGCTCACGGTGCATCATCGGCATACACGGGTGGGGCAATGGCCAAATGAATGTAGTTGGCAAAGTCTGTTGGTTGCCAACCTACAGGCTGCTAAGAGTGATAAGAGTGCATCATCAGCATACAAGGATGGGGAAATGGCAAAGTCAAGGCTGTAGGACCCAAACTTACAGGCTTCTCAGATGTCATCAGTGGCATCAGTCGGGTCGCTTTTTGTTTCGCATATGAATGATGTTTATTTGTGTTCGCTTCTGATTCGGGAGTTTGCCGTCGAACTCATTTTTTTGACATTCCAATTGGCTCATGCAGTTGTTCGATGCAATAGCTGACAGGGGTTAAATACATCCATGTGGTTGAAAATGTAATGCTACATATGCTATAGACAGGCAGTTGCGGGGATGCAAGAAGAGAGAGGTCTAGCTGTACAAATGAATAGTTCATTTAAGATGAATAGATTGTAACTGAAGATCTTCAATCTTTTTTTAATCTATGCGTGGTTCCTTTTGTGCGGCAACATTTGGATTTTTGACCACCAAAATTTTCCCAAGTGCATTTGGGCCATTACCGGCTCCCAGGTGCATTGTTGGCGGATTCCATGGGCCTGGGTAAGACACGCATCTGGGCTCGATCGGGACACTGGTGACTACATGATATCATGTGACTATTATATATATATAATTTATCTAAATCCAAGAGTCATGTGGAGCTAGTTTCTTGATGATACTTAGACGTTATGTACGGTTGGTGGTGTGCAAGGTGACGTACGCTTGTGCGATGGGTTGCGCGATGAGGACGTACGCTTGTGCGATGGGTTGCGCGATGAGGACGTACGCTTGTGCGATGGGTTGCGCGATGAGGACGTACGCTTGTGCGATGGGTCGCGCGATGAGGACGTACGCTTGTGCGATGGGTTGCGCGATATGAGGACGTACGCTTGTGCGATGGGTTGCGCGATGAGGACGTACGCTTGTGCGATGGGTTGCGCGATGAGGACGTACGCTTGTGCGATGGGTTGCGCGATGAGGACGTACGCTTGTGCGATGGGTTACGCGATATGAGGATGTACGCTTGTGCGATGGGTTGCGTGATGAGGACATATGCTTGTGCGATGTGGCATATTTTTTTCAGTGGTGACTCGTAACAGTTGAACATGAGTCGACAAACGACAATGACATAATTGAATGACACTTTTGGAACTTGGAACATCACAATTCACTTGTTGAGGATGTTGATTCAGTTGATGATGTTGATGATGTATGTTTGTTTGTTTATGGGGACACGTCAAACCAATTTGAAAGTCAATAAATGTTTATGTTTTTTCTGTGGGTTCCAATTCTTTGGGGGAATTCTGAGATAGCACAAATGCGATGCAACCGAAGGTCTGCATTTCAATCACTTACAAATTGGATGGTTGAAAAAACACAAGAACTTTGACACTGGACACTTGCCATCATCGGGAACTGGGAACATTGTTCATTGATTCATTGTTGAAGAAAGATGAAATCTTTTCTTTGAACTTTGAACTGTGGATTGTGGGATTAGTTTTCTCTTACATCAATCTCGACCAATGCACAATTTAGTGCAACTGATTTTGTTCTACTGTAGTCACAAGGTTCTTGAATAATATCGAACCACAATGTCACCAAGTATTCCTTCGCTGGAAACACAACACTGACATTGCACGCCCTCGCTTCGCAGTCCATGGTTATGAATCATGGATTTAGTTATAGTTATAGTCTAGTTATAAGTTATAAGTTATAAGTAGTTATGTTGTGTTATGAGGTATGAACGAATCAATAGTATGTAATAGTCCATGAATCATGAATCATGAAGTTGCCCATCATGATCTGTATTTGATGGTTTGAAGTTTTAACAAACTTGTGATTCATCAACCATTCATTGAACAATGCGTACTAATTCATTCATCAAGCAACAGATTAATATAGTTTATATTTTATATGATATATGATATAATATATATAATATATATATATCATATATATAATATATTATATGATGTATAGACAACTTCAACTTCAACTGTAAATGAATCAATCAATATGTTGTGTTGGATGTTCTTGATAAAGTCGTTGACATAAAACAATTACCTATCATGTAACATGACCAGCATGGTGACATGACTCGACCATGGCATTCGGTAAGATGACCCATGGCAAGACTCTTAGCGGGCGTTCTGGCCAACCTCGATGACGAACCGTCATCTCGGGGTGGGCATGCTCGGGTTCGCAAGAGCGTCTTCTTGAAACATTGTGTGGCCCCCCAGGGAGGGCAAGACTGTCTGGTCTGGGACCTTCAATTCTTGAGACATGTGAGCTGTTTTAGAATTTACAATTTACAATTGCAAAATACAATGTGCAATCTGGAAACTGTCAGAAACCTGACCACCGATCATATGGCAAATGTTGTTTTGTTACCAAGCTGTTTCATTATGAAACCTCGTTATTTCATGGATGTGATGTAATTGTAATTACTTTTTTAAACCACTAAGTTGCATTGAGCTACATACGATCAGGTTCCATGGTTCAGGGTTTGTGTGATTCATATGCACATTCACATTAGATTCACATTCATACAATATTCACATTCACATTAGCAGTCATGATTCACCATGAAATCTGGTGGCATGCACGGCTTGCGATTTGATTTGATACAGTATTTTTGCCTTATCTGCAGCTCATTGATTGGGACCAAGCCAGGTTTGTAGGATTCTGAATCCAAACATGGCCTCGCTGACTGAGAAGGCAACTCAGACTCAAACCATTGACTTTGGTTTGGAGTCATATGGCTATGTGAAAGTCACCAGTGTTGGTGATGGTGGTGGTGACGATGTTCATCGACCTGAAGGTAGTAGTGATGATCATGGTGATAGCAGTGATGATGTTACTGGCAACCAGTGGATCAACATGTCACCTGGGTGTAATGAAATGCAGTCTATGCCCCGATCTATGAGTCAATCTCCAGCTCCATCTATCCATACGTCAGATGCCGTGTCTCCGGCTACGACAAAGGCGTTGTCAGCCCATTGGGAGTATATGGATTCGCCATCACCGCCACGTGGGAATCCTATACGCCCAGAATCGCCAATGAGCCCTTGGACTACCGTCAGTGAAGCTATGCGTGCTCTACAGACACCAGTTCGCAAGAGGACAACAGCCGATAGTGAGTTGGATGATTCCCCACCTGGTGCCCCTCAGAAGTCCAAGCTGAAGTTGACTCGATTTCCTCACAGCCCAGTTGATGACATTGGAACGCCTGACAAGGTTTCTCCAGTTTCTCCTATGCCTTTGCCTGATTGGGACAGCTTGGACCTGGATCACCATGAGCCGTCCGAAGATGCCCAAAAAAATGCACCTGAAGGATGGCTGAGCGAATGGGACTTCATGAATGAGAAGCAACGGCAGTGGGTCATCGATCACCCAGATGGCATTTTTCCTTGCGTTGTTTCTGATGGGCGATAGGATATAGGACTTGCAAAATGCAAGTAGTGGGTCAAAGAGCGTCATTGTCATTGACCATTGACATTCATTCATTGACATTGACATTGATATCCCAGCGGCTCCTGTTTCTTCTCAACTAAGTAATCACTAATTTGAATTGGTCATCAGAGTCATAGTCGTTATTACTAGCCTGGTGATGTTTTATGAATTCTATGATAATGTGATCCATTCAAATCGAGACCAAGTTTAAGTTAAGCTTTAAATTTTCTTGACTTTAGTTGTTGTCATTCAATTGTTCATTGTTGGTTTTTGATTTTTCTGGTTTCAGATTCTCAAATCTAACTATCTTATATTGTTGTTTTGACTGAGTGCTTGAAATTTGAATTGGCGAGTCTGGGGTTTCACATTGCATCAGTGCACCAGCACGATTTATGAAGCTGGTACCAAAATCTTGGGTCACACAGGCAGCAAAAAGGAGCATATGAGTTGCGAGAACCTGTATATATCATATATTCCTCCTAACAACTCCATTGTAGTACCAGTGTCTGATTTTTGTTTAAAGAGATTCCAGAATTACAACTCGACCACATCACAGCATGAAATCAAAACCAAGAATCAATAATCATTAAGAGAATCAAGAGTCTTCAACAACTCAAATCTTCAAGTTTCATGTTGCATTCATTTTTTAAAAGTTTCAAATTTTTAAAACATACATCAACAGTAGTGGCACTGTACTGGCAGTCTATCTGATACTATCTTTCAATTTCAGGGGCAACCACTATCACTAAACATCACCTTGCATACCCTTGCATCAGCTAGGTCGAAATTTTGCACGTCGTGCTCGTGCCGCACAGCAAATTGAACTCAGATTGAGGACTGTGGGATCAGGGTTTGGGGGCTAGTCATGTCTCATAACTCAAATCTTAGCAACTACATTTGGTTGGATTTAGTTACTGAACCTGAGTTGAGAGTTGAACTCCTGTTTATTTTTTGTATGTCAATGTCAAGAGTCATCATTCATAATTCATAACAATCAGAATATTTTTTTATAATAAATTTGTTTCACTTATGATTTACTATTTATATTTATTATGGGTTTCCTGTCTTATTTGGATTTTAATGTCATATTTACTGTTAGTTTGATAGAAATGATTTGATTTGATATGATATGGTTTTCATGATTCTGAATCTATCTCAGGCTCTCAAGTTCAACTGATTCAGCTAGTCATTGCACAAGTCATGTCACCTGCTATCACAAACCCAGACATTGCCAAAGAAACTACGACCTACGTACAATTCATACATTCATTCATTCAATCATTCAATCATTCATTCATTCATTCATTCATTCAATCATTGATTCATTGATTCATTGATTCATTGATTGATTGATTGATTCATTCATTCATTCGTTCATTCATTCATTCATTCATTCGTTCACTTATTTCATTCACTTATTTCATTCACCCACTACTCATTACTCATTACTCATTCATTCATTCATTCATACATTACATTACATTACATTACATTTCATGTTCGTTCCATTCCATTTCATTTCATTCCATTTCATTCCATTTCAGTTCATTCCATTTCATGTCATTTGATTCATTCATTCAATCAATCATTTTGTTCTGATTTGTTCTGTGTGTTTATACATCATAAAGTCAAGTATTGAAACAAAAACAGAACAAACACAAACGGTATTAGCCTTGATGGCCAGGACGGTCGCTGATGAGTATGTGGAGAACCATGCGGTCCGCAAATCTCAAGTCGCATGGGCATTGGGATCTCAATCAGTCAGATCTGGTCACAAGGTGCTGAAGCGATCTAAGACCAATGTTTCTGGTAAGGGGCAATACAGGGTCTGGACAGCACAGGCTATGCTGCGTGTGACGTTGCTGGACTAATTTTTTAAAAAAAACAAAACATAACAAGTTTAGTGCTTTTGTTTTTTTTAATTAAGTTTGATTTAGCATCAAAGCTTACCCAAATACGACTGGTTTGGCTCATTGTCACTGACTCGCTACTATCAATATACTAATACAATTTCAATACAACAATGATTAATCAATTTCAATTTCAATTCATCATATTTATCAAAATTATAGTGATCACTGATCACTATCATCACTAGCACATCACTTCAAGTCGATGGGTGATATGTGTTCTAAAGAATCACTGGTGATTGGTAATTTATTGATTCTGTGCTGATCAAGTGTATTCATTATTCATTCATACATTCATATATTCATGCATTCATACATACATACATACATTCATTCATTCATTCATTCATCTCATTTATTCATTTCATTTATTCATTTATTCATTGATTCATTTATTTTTTCATTTATTCATTCATTTATTCATTCATTCATTCATTCATTCATTATACCGATCACAGTAAAAAAAGAAAGAACATTATTCAACAGCAACATTACCTATGTGAGATTGTAAGGAAAACCATCTTAAATCTTAAGCCTTAACCTTCAACACCATTAAGTAAGATCACTATTAATATTAGTTAAGTTATAGGTTATAATTATAAGTTACTATTATTTTTTTTTGATGCCCTGCAGACTGCAGACTGGTTGAATTGCTATACTGACTAAGTGAGCTGGTTCTAAAGTTTTGTAAGCTATGTACTTGTATTTTTCGAGTGACTGACTTACTCATCGGGTGTCCCTGCCAAAAAAAAGTTTTTTTGGGGGGGGGGGGGGGGTTCGCACACCAATTTGGGACATTTAAAAGTGTAGTCGCTTGCTGAATTAGATGATATTGATGATTACATGAGGTATTTTTTGTTGTTTGATTCATGACGCTCAAATGTTGAGAGGGGTATGTGGATCAAATAAGGTTGTTGAGATTTAGAATTTAGATTGATTCAAGCAACAATGGTGATCCTGATCTGATGATACCTAATGACTTACTATGATATATGATAATAACTACCTTTGTTATGGCTTGACTTAATGGAAACCAGGGAATCTTACTAGTTATTACTATGTTTGTTTGTTGATCTGTTGATCTCTGAGGCTTGGTCAAAGCTTCATTGCTGCTTTCACGCCAAAGTTCCAGCACCACAGCTTGCAGAACAAGTCACCTACGATGTGTTCAACTTCATCGCTGGCTTTTTGGATGTCGGCATCGACAACCCATATCGGGAAAGCAACTTTGGATGAAATTTAAGTTATGGGTCTCGATGTATTAATGTATAATTTTGCATGCCTTGTTGCTTGATGTTGGTGGCTGTTGGCTAACAACACCAGATCTGATCAAGAGTTGAATCTGTGAGTTGCGATCCCGATGCTATTTAAGATGATTTTGTTTGGGCATGAATTCAATATGTGTATGAACCTGGAAACTAACAGGTTCAAATTACAACTTTCAACTTCCAAGACCACAACATTGGTGAGCATTTGATTTTTTTTTTGGTCAAATTACATGATTTTAAGTTCAGGTCTCAGACTCGGGACACTTCATTATCAGCTAAGGTCAGATCAGCTGTCTGCGAGCTGTTTTGTCAGCAGCTAGAAGCTCGCTGCAAGAAATGTCAAGATGTATCTTGGATTCTGCGGGGAATGAAGTTTGAGTTGGAGTTTGCAGATTTGAAGAGACATGTTGTTAGGGAGAGTTTGATAGAGAGATGTGGGCACATAGAGATGCACATGAATGTAAAATATCAAAACTCATATTTACAAAGCTGGTACTTAGAATTAACAACAAACGAGTACAAGTCACAAACAATCACACATAGTTTCTACATGTTTGAACAGATCAATATAAACCTGATGAATTATTTATTTTCGCACCATGGGCAGAACATAGCAATATACAAGAAAGAAACATCAAACAACTTTACCTCTGGGGGTTTGTCTGAGGCAAAACCATTCATGGTGTCCGTGAGCATTGAGTTCGATGCATCTTCCTTCAAGACACGAGTCCGAAAAGGGATGATCGTAGCCGACGCAAAGTATCATGTACTGGTGACTTTGGTTCAACTTCAGGTTGAATAACTTAACGTCACACAGTCATACATATCACACATATCATAACACATATGTTACGTCTTCTTGTTCATATATAATATTATTACTATTCATATTATTTTAGTGTCTATTTAGTTGAATCTAAAGGTATAGCACAACACAACAATGTATATATAAGATTTAAATTTCACAATTATATTTTATAACTTTTAGTTGTCCTTTGTATTATATATAATATATATAATTATATATATATTGTTTTATTTGACATTGACACTATAGTACATACATGCGGTAATGAGTTGAGTAGTTAGAGACAAGCCAAACCATCACATGATTCATGGTTCATGATCACATTATGGAAGTTTGAAACATCACATCGAAGTATTTGCTGTTCACTGTTTGTTTGAATATATGCACATTGTACAAACAAAACAACTTAACTTAACTTAACTCATGTCTGCAGGTGTAACTAATTATTATGATGCAACTTGAAACTTGAAACATGAAGCAGTTCTTTTTTTAATTTCATGATGTGTTGTTTGCTAGGTGTTATCAACCGATTGTATATCAATATTTGTTTAAAGTTTAAAGTTTAAACTTAAACCTAAACAATATTTTCATTTAATATTTAATATTATACACTTGAGTCAAATCCAAAGACATGATGTATGGTTTTGACACCTGGCACTTACATTCCCAAACACATTACATGTTATTTGTCTACGCTGTGGTTCATTATCCATTTTGTGCATATGGCATAACAATAATAGTTCTTGAGGTTAATATAATTTTTAGTTTAAATTTAAATCAAGTTCTAAGAAAACATATGCTATGTGTTGTAAGTTGTCACTGTAATTTTAACCTTATGATTTTTAATTATAATATACTACTACTGCTACTGCTACTACTACTACTACCACCACCACTACTGCTACTACTACTACTACCACCACAACTACTACAACTACTACGTTTGCTTGTTGCAGTAAATATGTCTGCAATGTCCTATTCCCAACATGTGCTGCTGGGATCTCAATTGGAATTGGTATGTAAGAATTTATAGGTTTGGTCAGGTTGCATATGTTTGCAGTTTCCAAGGTTCAACGTGGTGGACTGCTTGTTCAATGGTCTGAAACCAGCAAGCAACTTCAGCAACTTGTCGATAGATTCAATAGACAATCTTTTTCAAATGAATCTAGCAAAACATCTTGCTCAAAAAGGGCAATCAAAAATCAATATGTTTTTTTTTGAACTGGGTTATAGATTATTGCCCTATACAAATGATTTACTGGCTGTAAGCTTATAACTTATAACTTATTATAAATGAAAAACAACCGATATAATGAATACAATTAATATGATAAAATGAATAATTTTTGTTCAGTTCTGGTGAATAACAATTTTCCAGCCAACTAAATTATGCTTGGTTGTTTTGATCCAGGAAAGTTGTTTGTTTGTTTGTTTTTTGTTTTTTTTCGACGTCTGTTGTGCAGAGGCACTCGATGCTACCTATATGTCCAGCTGTACTTGAACATGAAGACGCTGAGTCACTGTTCAAAGCTCTGCAAGACAAGCACCCAGTGGACTTATTCAGACATTTGACTGCAACAAGCATAATACCATATTTCATGCATTTATGTATATATCTATGCGTGGCCATGTATTAGTTGATTCAAATAAGACACTGTGAGTTGCGACATGAATCAAATCGTCAACTTTGCTATTGCTATGCTTCCTGTTTGCTATTACACTTGCTTCTGTGAATTAGTGACACAACACAACACATGTTTAAAACAAACTAGCATACTAATTTATAATAATGTTAATGTGTTTTCAAGATGTTGCTTAAGTTGTTTCATATGCTATGTGCATAGTTTTGTTAGACTCAGACTGTTAGTCTGCTTGACTCATACCATATATTATGATTAAAAAACATAAAATACAATTTGAATTAATAAAGTGTACACTGGTTCGGTTACCAAAAAAAACATATGTAGTCTGTACTAGATACTGCTGAAATATATTTATTGTCAAGATGCATCATCGCTACATGAACTAAGGCTGGTCAAATGAATCGACAATCTTCCTCCTGAGACTTGTATGCGACCGAGGGCCAGCCAATCTCAAAACGATAAGGCAAGGTATTCTTCAGCAGAGACCGCGCAACTGTGTTGTCTTCTCGAAGACATGTGACCAGCAACCTGGTAAAACTTTTGTGGGTTTGGTGTGGATCTTAATCGCAAATTAATTAGCCTATATTCTAGATTCATATGATGTGTAAGATGATATGATAGCTGCAAAAAACGACTATTCAGATTCAAAACCTTGTGGCTTTTGGAATCTGAAATGCTTCACATCTCTTCTGCATGCATGTAAGACATTTTGGGAAAAACAAAACTGATCAGATAAATTGACGTCGCATTTCAAAACATAAATGCTAGTGTAGCAATAACATAGAAATTAGTTAAATGTTACTGTTATATTATATAATTTAAGCAGATTAATTTTAGTGTCCTGTTTCTGTTTTTTTGGCGTGTTCAACCTATCCGTTGATTCAAGTAATTATAGGTTTGACAACTGTGCAGGGACATGGCTGCAAATTGCAAACACATTTGTTTCCAAATGGTGATTGTTAACAAAACTAACTAAACAGCTGATATGCTATGAATTATCATATCACAACCTACCAACGAACTAAGTTCAACTGAGATTGAGACGAAATTTGTTTTAATTTAACCTTATTGGCTTTGTGTCGTTACCAATCTTAGGCATCACAGGTTGCAACTTGAAATGCAAAAGCATTTGTTTTGTGAGTTTTATGATTCATAATTTATAATCTATAATAATATTAAGATATGAATGAACTACGAATTATAGATTGAACTTGGACGTAAACTAGATAGGTATTATTGATGGATGTAACTTGATGTAACATCAAATTACATATGAATCATTTGAAAACAAAGATGATTAGTTCCAACGTTTGGAGTTACTGAATTTCAGGCAATATATTTCAATGCATTGCTTCAGGCATGCGCTCAACAACTCTTGCGAACCTTTGTGGAGGGGCATGCGGATTCTGCCTGACATGCCACTCGGATCTGTTCTGCTAACATGCAAAAAATCATTGCGGCGGTATGAAACAACAACCACTTCTAATTTTGATAGGAGTTCATGTCTAAAAGTAGATAGAGAAACTCTTCGTTATATTATGCGTTAACTTATGTTGTTTGAAAATGAAAGCTGGCTGTACTTTCACACGGTCAAACATTTATTTCCATTTCAAATTTCCGCACTGCATTGTTTTGTTTTTTTTTGGTAAGTTGGTATGATACATGTTTACAAATTATATATCAGTCGAAGACGACACTTACTCCCAATTTCACACCCAATCAAGTAGATCTCTTAGGATTCAAAAGTAGACAACACACTGCAACAATTTAGCTGCTATGACAAATTTTCAACTCGACCAATAACAGGGTTCCTTACGCACAGGTTCTACACATCAGGGTACTTTGCCACTGGAAGCACCTACTTCAGCTTGCTGCGCAGTGCCGAAGCTTGGGTGTTTGCTGAAGGAACCGTGGAGGTTATTTTTTCAGCGTTGCCTGCCTGAATTGTTTTCCAATCTTTGGTAATGCTTCAGATTCAAAACATTTGCCACAACAAACATCACATATCATGATTCATGATAGTTGAGTTATGTTGTGTTAGTTGTGTGTTTATGAGTATCTGAATTCCGAACAACTGTGAAGGAACTAAAATTATGAAATGAAATACACATTTAAATTAAAACATTTAGAATTTAGAGTTAAAGTTTTTAAACACTAAAATTGCCTAGTGTTGTATTGTATATATCTGATTCGATATCAACTGAATCAACTGGAAGCTTGTTGCTGATCACTTCCACTATTGGCCAATATTTCTAATCACTCAGCTTGAACCAAATGGTGTAAACCAACTACTTAGGCCAGACCCTGCATACCGTGCCATGAACGAACTGCTGGTGCAACTTTCATCTGGTGAGCAAAATCGTGATGCTGGATCACTGTCGGAGCCAGCGGCTGAACTCTTGCGTGTAGACAATGGTGATTGGACACACCCAACCAAACTACAGCACTTTTGCGCAGGAGTGTTTTGTTGTCCGAATGGGATAAAAGAAACACGTGCCAAGCTATGGTCAGCAATTTTGGATCCTTTTCATCTGCTATCAGTTTACGTTTTGAGTTTGAGATTGAAAACAATATGTGTGTTTCTCTGTTTCTCTCATGGTTATTTTCAATTAGTCATGTCATGTATGTTGTTATTGCGATGGTTTATATTTACTTAGTTCTCATTACAACCATTATGCCAACTGCTTGAACAAAAAAAAGACAAACTTTGGTTAAGCTAAGTTACAGTTTTCGTTTGTGTCCCTAGCAAGAGTGACTCCTAGGGATACATATTTGGAGTGAAAGCTACGATTCCTGCATTGTCTCGCTGGACAACATGCGGTAGCTCATCCAGATATTATTTGACGCTTGGAGCCAGACATTGGAAACATAATAACGAATTCCAACCCAGATTTTACTTTGGTTTCTATAGAAACTTATACATCCTGGATATCGGAGAAACAAATAAACATCCACATAGTCAACCACAGCATATCATAAATTATCATGAGTAATAGGGCTAAACCAAGCAAATGAGGTAATTGAATCATATTCATATTACATTTGTTTGTCACGCAAAAAACAAAGGCAAGTTCACACATTCCATAATATATATTTATAATTTATAGCTTACTTGCCACTCACAACCTTCCTGTCTTTCGTGACCTTACTCACTTTGACCATTCATGTCTCCAATAGCAACCCACACTCTCAACTGAGGCGAGCCTTGGGATATCACAACATTCTGTGGCATGCGTTTCAGCTGATGCATCCAACCCAGAAGGTAAGGGCTTTGGAGAGGGAATTTCAGGAAAGCGACGAGTCGATGCCAACATCGACGTTTCTGAAGGAATCTGACTCGACAGACTTTTACAGAAAGGTGTTGAGGGTGAAGGCATTCAAAGCATTTCAGTTTCTACGGAATGAACATTCACTTTTCCAGTCATTGCTTTGCACAATTGTGATGGGAAAGTTTGAACGGGTGATGTACACATTCATGAAGTGGCAACGTGATGACTTTGAACTAACTGAATTTCCACCGCTTGTCCGAATGTTGTATCCAGAAGACTCACCCATCACACAAGCCTTGGCATCGATCAAGCAACTGTTGACAATTGGATGCATCATTGCGACTTCTCCACTTACATTTCAAGATGTAATGCATCGACCCTTGGCTATATTCAATCAGGGGGAATTGCATAGTTAGGTGAGAACTGTCTAACTATAAGTTTCATAGACTACTTAGTTTTCAACTTATATTTAAATTTAAATTTAATTTAAATATCATTTATTGAGTTATGGTTACAATTTACAATAGTCATGATTCATGATTCATGATGCATTGACATTGATTTGATTCATTGTATGTTTTAAGTTAATGAAATCTTCGACAATGATCGACAAAGGACACATATCATATGTTACTTTATATTATGTTCAATACTCAATACCGCAACTCCAATTCTCAAATCTTTCAATTTTTAGTTTCATGACATAAATATGTTTTATGATGTGTTGTTTGTGTGGTTTTGAAAGCAGGGTATTGTAAGATGCCACTGCTCTTCTTACTTGCAATAAGGAACAAAACAACCTAGTGAGTTGTATTGAGATTCAAATTGTAGTGATAGGTTGATGTGGTACAAATTGATGAATGTTATCCTTTTGTTAATGTAACTGATACAGTCATTGCTGAAATGATTTAACATTCAAGATCAGATTGAATTTCGGGCTTTCAAAATTTGCATCTGAGGACTTGCTCATCATCACACAATACCGGAGAATGTGTGGGATTATGCCTTTTGGCTCTCGGTGGCAGCTGTTGGGCAACTTTGGAGACGGTTTGTGTTCCCATATAGTTTGCCACCCCTTTGTCTGGGAAAACTATGTGATCAACGCATCGACATCACAGAAAAGGAATCTTTGGCATCATGGTACTTCAGTTTGCCAACATGTTGCAGGTCACAAAGTTTTTGTCAACCACTGTTGAATCATGCGCAAGATTCAAAAGACTTACTGCCTGGTGCAAAACTATCTGGAACTTTGGAGGCATGTTTTCGCACACCGTGTGCCAACATTCAGTGTGAAAATAATTTTGCGAGGGCACAATCAGCGAAATTGGCTACCCGGGGGAGATCTGACCACTCGTCACAGCTCTGCGGCAAACACATTTTGGCTGAGATGAAAGCATGCCATTTGAAGGATGCTAGGCGAACAGCAGCCAACGCATATTTTCCGAAAGAGGAGGATGATCAAGTTGAACCAATTCAAGATTGTCACCAAACTGATGTGGGAACTTGTCATTCTGATGTGGGAACCAGCAACTTCACTTGGTGTCATTCTGTTTTGGTTTGCAGCCAGTGACTGTTTGTATGTTGATACATGTTTAGTTCAGTTTGTTAAGTCTATTTGTTGATATGGTTTGTCAGTCATGTTTTTCTCGGGGTTGAGATTGTTTCCAAGATAATATCAAACCATATCATATCATATATGTGTTATGTTAGCCTGTGGTAGGTAAAGTATGTTAATTAATAATGATAATAATAATGATGATATTATGAAAATTTTGTCCATACCATATATCATAATATATATATAATGTTATTGTTATATAATATAAAATGTTTGTATATATTTTGCCGAGCCACTTAGTTACATTGTTTTAGAAAGTTTCCCTCTCAGCAAGTTTGTGTTTCACAATGGTTTATACCCATACCAACTATTGTGTTATGTCAGTTATGTCAATGCCAATAAGGCACAAAGCGATTCAATGGGTACACACTCTACTGGACAGAGAGAATGTCAGAACGTTTACAACTTCCGGGCGAGACAGCTGACCAATGCAGGCTTAGGGTGATGGCTGAGAGTAAAGCCACTTGGAACTCGGATCCAGCACTTCGTTCTGAGTACCGATGCAAAGCACAAGAAACCAACAAATCAAACAAATCTCAGTTGGTAGTTGCAAGTCAAGCTGTGAATGATGGTGTGATGGTGAACAGCAGGGTGGCACCAATGAAAGAACTTTATCTTCGGCCAGTGGTTCAAACAACAGCTTCTGCGGGGGTGGGACCTCTTGGAATTGGTGATTCAAGATTTGGACTTTCAGTTCAACTTCTCGGTGACACAGTTGATGCAACAATGGGGTTTGTGAAAAAATTCAACAATGAATGGCTCACACGAGCTGGAGGTACTGTTGTGTCGTCAACTGATTCATTTCAGACTCCGATGAAGCTGTCATGTTTTGAGGAATTTGGATTTTGCTGGAACACATTGAACAGGGAGAACAGGGAGCGTTTCTTTCAGATTGAAACACATTTGTTGCGGTTCATGCAAGACTTCAGAAAGAAATTCATTCACAACAAGAAGAACAAGGGACCCAACGCTGACATCAAGCATCCTCTACTCATTGCTACAAAGGGGAAACTTTGTTACAACTCATTGCGATTTTATTTTGAGAGTTTGACTTGATATTGTGATTGTATGTAAAAGTTTAAATAATAATAGTTTACTAAGTTTAATATGTAGTAATAGTATGTGTTTTTTTATTCTGATATCATACACTTTTAGAGTAAAGGTAAATTGTAGGGGAATTATCAAATCATCATCTTATCTTATCAGTGTATTGTTGTTTTTGATTCCACCGACTATTGAATGTGGCTTTTGAATATATAGTAGGAGGAGGAGGAGTAGTAGTAGTAGTAGTAGTAGCAGTAGTAGTAGTAGCAGCAGCAGTAGTAATTTACAAATAAAAAACAATATAATTTAAATTTTAAATTGTTCACTTGGTTATAGTCTGTTGAAATCACCATTCAGCTTGAACATTGGCAGGAACGAACTACATATCGACATCTCGAAGGTGTGGCTTTTGTCGGCATATTCATTCTCACCGTACAGCGCTGACTGGTGGGATTGTCAATTGGAAATGAGAGATTCTCATTTGGTGGCTTCACCAAAGTGGTCTGGTATGATGCCATGTATTGTTACCCACAAACAGCTTGCAAAGGATGTTGCTCTTGGTGCTATCTGCAGTGGGGATGACTGGGAATGGACTATTTGTTCTGAATACACAGCAGCTCATCTATGCTCTAGCAAGAAATTGTGGGTTTGTTTTGTATCTATTGTGGCTTAACAGTTTTTGACTTTGATTGATGATCGCTGGATAGCACAAACAAACAAACCAACCAACCAACCAACAAACAAACCAAACAAACAAACAAACAATCACACACACACAAACACACACACAAACAAACAAGCAAACGAACGAACGAACGAACAAACAAACAAACACACACAATACTTTATTTTTTTCAAATTTCAATATCATCAATATCATATAGGTGATTTCTGTTTTGGTTGCAGTTGGCTGTATGAACCAGGCAAAAAACAAATCCTACTTACTCACAATGTACAATTACGATTTAGCAGCGTTTAGCATGTATAATTATGCATGCCACATGTTAACCTTCAATCCATCTAAGGTTGACAGGACGGAGATTGGACTGATTCACCTTCAAACTCACGAAGATGTTCAGTGGGAACCCATCGCTGGTGATGATTACTTGATCAACGCTTCCGACGATGAAGATGGTGAACAACATGGTTCATCTTCAACTGCACCCACCAATTTGTTTCTTCGAACTGTGGGTAAGACTGGATCAACGAGAACCACCAATAGTAAGACTGTTGTTGGCCAGAGGAGAACATATGGACAACCAACATCATCAAGTTCCTCAATTCAATGATACATAATAGTTTATTTAGACCTCAAGGGATTTTTTTCTTATAGACTATTATATAATATATATATATATATATATTATATATATATATATTATGATATGGTTTTGTTTCATCGGATATTTCCTCTGTGTGACTGAGGTCATCACCATGGAGCCAGTGGGGGTGACGCTGCCACAGCGATACCCATTGATGATGTTCACAATCGAGAGGCAGATGATGTTAGGGTGTTTGATGAACATGGTGCTCAAGATGAGGATGAGCTGACTAGGGCATGGAGAATGTCTCATGAAACTGATACTCATCACTTCTTCAGATAGAAAGTTTTAGGCTATCTGACTTAATTTCGATTATATTACACAATTGAACTGGCTAGTGACTCTGGAACTAGCGAACTACTGCCCAGGATAATCTTGGATCCATAATCTAGACTCTGTATCTGAATGTAGATTCGAATCTAGCTACATCAGGTCGTCTTCGAAATTATCTAGTCGCATTGTAACAAAGAATAGTTAATTTGTTTTGCTATTGTCTTTATTCTTTAGTTAATTTACTTTTACAATTTACAAGTATATATATATAGTTTGATATAACTCATGAGTTATGATTCATCATGCATGTTCATTAATTACTTTGTCTTTGTTGTATCTTTCTTCGGAAGAATCAATAGTGGTTCATGATTATACACTACTATCTACTAATTTCTTCACTGTTGTCTAGGTTTAAGTTTTATCTATATCTATATAGAGATCACCCATGGGAATCAATTGCACAATCTAAGGACGAAGGCCAGCATGTGCTATCTTCATCTCGACCTCGGCAACCTCACGGTCAGCATCAGAAAGCATCCGAAGCAGCATCTGCATCAGCACCACCCAGAGCGAACCAGGGAGAGGGTGGAAGTGTTGACTTTGTTCTTCCTGATTGTGGACTACGTTGTGCAGCAGATGGGCATGTATATTCGGCTACATTGCATGCTCCACTAGGCTAGATTCATTTTATCAACTTTTATTTATTGTATATTGTTATAGTATGTTGTATTGTTTTTGCAGGTTTGAGTATTGATCTGATGATTGAATCATTGTTTTTAGTTCTACTAATCATATCTATAGATGTTTGGGTGAAACATGAGATCAAAGTCACATTCAAAGCAATCAATCACTCAACACCATCACAAAGTAATATGATATGATATGTATTTATTTATTTTCTGTTATCGTTAGTTTTGTTTGTTTGTGAGTTTGTGATTATTCATTGTCAGGTCGTATCACTGAATGGAAAAAGAACAAGCCTGGCCATAGTGTCTCTTTTGCTTGCAAAATGCATTCGAAATGCAGGGTGGTAAAGTCGATGGCAACTTTACCACACAACTTTCAGGACAGGGTTTGATAAAACAACACAAACCATATTCAATACTTAATACTAATACTCTATTATTATGATGTGAGGCTTTTAGAAATCACATCAAACACTATTCTGACTAATAATAATCTGGCTGAGTTTGTAACTTTGTAAAATGTAACTTTGTAAATATGTAAACACCAACATGTCTGGATCTGTACCTCATACCCTCTCAGGCAAATTCAATGCGATGGATGGCAGCTGGATTGGAGCTGACATCGCGTTCTCAAGCCGATGAACATATGAAGATGTTGCTTGGTGTATAACTCACTTTAGTTCAGGTTTCCTTTCGGAATTTTCACATTTCTCTTTGCCATGTAAAATTGATTTGTAATGTTTTCTCAATTTATATGTATTGTCTATTATATAATATAAGTATAAGTATGGTTTTATTTATCTTCCCATTCCATTGAACATGCCTAGGTTTGATACAGCAGTGATGAGACCTGAACTTTAGACAAGCTGGGCCCTTTGACAATGCATACCTTTGGCAATCGGCTAAAAAAAAGGGTGGTGCATCACAGTGCACACAGTATATACAGCATGTGCGCAAAGTACATACACTGTACGTTCACATTGTACACTGCATCTGCCCACTGTACATCCACATTGTACATCCTGACTGTACATCCTTTTGTTAGCAAATTTTAGGGTTTTGTTAGCAAATTTTAAGGTTTTGTTAGCAAATTTTAGGTTTTTTGCTGACAAAACGATGTACAATCAGGATGTACAATCAGGATGTACAGTCAGGACGTACAATGCACAATCAAGATGTACAATGTACATTGTTTGGAATCATATGTCATATACATTGTTCTTCTACATAGCCAGATTTTTTGGCCCTGAACCGCTTTGTGAGTTAGACTAGATTGCGAAGCCTTGTAGAAAGAGGATGTCAGAGACCGGAACGTGCATGAAGCTGTTAAATCCACCAGATGCACCTGATGGATGTGAACTACCATCTGGCTATAAAGCCAAACGATGCTTCTTCTGCAAAAGTTGGACCACCGATAAGGCACCATGGGACCAGCGAAACACCCCTCTTGATGCCTGGCACCCTTTGATGCCGTGGGGGAGAGGGAACAAACAGAAACCGATTGGCGATGTATGCAAGGTCTGTATGGTAGCATCTTTGTTTGCATTGGAGGGGGGGTGAGAGATGTGGTCAGGGATTAAGTAATCGATCAATGAAGAGAGAGAATAACTGGTGAATGCTATATTCACATTACATTATATTAAGATAACATCACTGTTGCTGCAGGTATGGGAGCAATGTGGATTTGAAGCTGAGCACAAGTTCGACATGAATGCGTTTCGGAAGGCAGTGACGGAGAACGGAACCCTTCTGCATCCATTTTTGGTTGCTTTGGCAAGCAGTTATGTTTCAACTTTCAACTACTTTCAACTTTCGTCTCAAGTCTAAGGTCTCAAAAGTTTCGAATACATATTATATGATGTTATTTCTAATTATACTATCATATGAATATGATTTGATTATATATATATACAGTAGAAATAAAATATTTGCTATGTTGTAGATTCACATTTATCCTCATTTCAGTGGCTTTACATACAAACACAAACAGCAATCAGTGAGGCTTGCCGTTTGAAAGCCATCAAGATCAAGATTGCAGACCCATCAGTTCGGTTTCGTTTGGAGAAGCAGGGGATTACAATGCACACCGTGGTGACACAAGAGGTTGGCGAGCGGGGACTTGAAGCTCCGGAGGAATATTGGGTCGAGTTGTCGGCATATGAGAAGGATCCAGAAAACCCACCTGTGCAAGCATCCGACTATGTGTATGAATATGTGGATGGGGTCTTGAAAGCAGGTGTATCTTGGTTTACCAACTCAATTGTATTTAGTAAAAGTCCAGGCACTCATTCAGATAGCACAATGGCTTTCAAGTTTGAGGGTTCAAGTAGAACAAATATCTGAAATATCTGAATGCAGTCTGAATGGTTTAGTTTTTTAGTGTGTTCTTCTTCATTGAACTAAGGTAAATGTGTTGACTGGAAAAGCTGGATGGCACAAACGCATCAACCGTGACTACAACAGCGTTTCAAAGCGCACCAAGTTGACTGATGATGTGGAGATTTCTGATGGTGCGATTGACAAAGTTCATGCAGCTGCCAAAAGCATTGTGTTGAAGCGTAAGGCAGCTACCATTGCACTTCCAGAAGGACAGCGAGCTTCCTCGAGTTCGCGTGCTGAACATCCAGTGGAATCGATGTCTGCGCCATCTTTGAGGGCAGACAACGCAACTGAGAGAGGACAGTGAGTGATAAATTACAATCTTAAATCTTAAAGTTCATATTTGTTAACAATCACTTACAAAACTTGAATGATATATTGTTGGATGATGATTAAACTATATAGATGGATGCGAGATGGCAGTGTGAAATAAAGAAACTAGTTTATTGATATTGCATTGTTTACCCAGGAGACCCTGATGATGCCACCTCTGCATCAGATGACGAGACAGATATGCCATCCACTGGCTTGATGAACTTGCTCAAGGGTTACCAGAACCATGGGTCAAAAGCTCCTGGACCCAAAGCTGTTGCAAAGTCGACTGCTGCAAAGGCTGCTGCTCCGAAGAAGGCAAGTGTTCGCCCCAAAGCTTGCCCCAAGGCATCTACTTCCAGCTCTGCAGCAATGAAGACTAGCATTGGATCAGTTGATTCGAAGAGGAGAAAGACTACAGCTGTGCCTGAATTCTCAGCACCACATGTTGGTAACACTGAGGACATGTGCGCAGCAGACAAGGAGATTGTGGAAAGCTTTCAGACACGATTGCAAGACCTCAGGTCGGTCAAGCCTCCTTTGTCAGAGCCACAGTTCAAGACATACATTGGTGACCTCATTTCGAAGAGCAACTCATTCTGGAGCGATGTTAGAACCAAGAGCAGATCAGCAAAGCGACGCAACAACAAGGATGATCCCTTGCCCATGGTGTTGGACGGCATTGAGGAATCCATCAAGGAGCACATCAACTTGCTCAAATGTTTCTTGGACAGGGCTTAAGACTTAAGTCTTTGAGGGTTTTGGTAAGGTGTTTATTTTCTTACTCAGTGGATGTCTCTACCTTGTTGAGTTCGCTTCAAATAAACACACAAGACAAGACTTGACTTGACTTAATGATGTTGTTTGTTAATGGTTCACTTCATCAACAAAATCATATCACTACTGAGGTGTCTTGGGTACAGTCCCAGTGGATTCGACGACAACATTGATCACAATGCTGGATGAGGCAACAACATTGCGCCAGTGTGACTTCAACAATGCCGTCATCCGGAAGGGATTGAAATCTTTGGTGATTCAAGACGTCCATGTCTCTGATTGGCAGAAGCTGAGCACAGACACATTGACCATTATCCATGACCGATTTGGTCCAGATGCGGGCGATGGTGTCAGCAGCGACGATTTCTTTATCATCTTGGTCATGCAGAACTTCCAGAAGCTACTTCGATGTGCATCGTCAAAGTTCAAGAACAAGGACTGGTGGTTGGCAGTAAGTGCCAGTAAGTGTAGTATTAAAAGACCCATATGTATCTAGTAGTATCTAGTGTATGTATGAATCAAACCAAATGGTGCTGTGTGTTATGGTTTGGTAATATTGCACATTGAAAAAAATATATATATAAATATAATTATTTTAATTACTTATCTTATAATAATAATAATAAGAAGAATAATAATAACAATATATATAAATATAAATAATAATGATAATACTAACAATAATAATAATATTACTAAGTAATTTTACCTCAGCACTATTAGATTATGTGATTAAACACATTTCTACCAGGAGACCACTTTTGGCGCTGTGAACAAGGAAGCATTTGAGGGCGTCATCAATTTTTTGAGTGTTATGGCGACAGGCAGCCAACTCCCAGATCGGCTGAAGATTGATGCTGAACAGGTTCGTCTGATCATGACAGCTGACACTGCCGAGATTGCAGAGGTTTCGAAAGCTGCATTGGTTATCGATGGTATCAAGCGATCTCAGGAACAGAATCTTCATTTTGTTTTATTTGCTGCTATCATTGTTTTTTTTGGTATCTTATCATTTGCTCTTTTTTTTTTTGGTATCTTATCATTTGGTCAAAAAGTACCACTCCATGGGTATGATTCGACTTAGTTGTTTGCATCATAAAACAAACTGCTACTGCTTTGAATTGTTTAAATCGTTTTCAACAACATGTCAATCAACTCAGGATCAAGGCTTATCCATTGGCATTCAGTCTCCTTAGTCTTCCGATTGGCTTGCGGTTTGTCAAGGATGCTAAGGAAGTGATTGAAGAGAGGAAGGAGAAGATTGGAGACGCTGCAGTTCTACAAGAATCAGTTGAAACGCTGCAAGGGTTACATCTTGGAGACACAACCGCTCTTCTTGTGATGTGTCTGGATTCAAATTGAGTTAAGTTGTTTCAAGATATCAGTAACCAAAGGTGTTGGACTTATATATTAGTAGCTTCCTAACAATAGCTAAATTTGTATTAATGATGTCTATATAGTCTAGCCTCAACAATAACATACTTCAATAACTTAATAACTTCAACACTTAATAACTGCAATAGTTAGTTTCAGGCGTGTATAGGAGTGCGTGTTTTTGTTTGCAAACATGGCAAGGTCGAAGCAGTTGAAGAAGCTGAACTCCATTGTATTGCAGGTGTCGAACAATAAGGTCGTGATGAAAAGCATTGGTGCTGACACAGTCAAGTCCAGACTTGACATTGTGAGATCGTATTCCCTGGACGCACTTGTCTTCTTCACTCAACATCAGGCAAGCTGGTAGGGGAAACAAGATGAAACTAAACTTATTAACTTATAGTTAATCGGCCAATGCTGTGTCCTCATATGTAATAAAGTCATATTACATTACAGTGTGTTGTTTAAGGTTGTTCATTCCATTGTAAAATGTGTTGTTGGTTTTGATGTTTTTGTTTTCAGGATAGGGTGTTGTTGTGTTAAGTTACACATCACACCTAGCACAGCCTCAGGTGATGCCTTGGGTTACCAAAGCGACAGCAGCGCTTATGGATGTTGGTGTGTTGCCAGATGCGAGGGTGATTGGCACTTGGGAAGTCGCTCAGGAGCTTGGATGTCTCGAATTGTACCAGCCTCTTGGAAAGTTGCTCACTGCTATCTACGACGTTGGCCACCAGCTTGGCGAGATGAAGGCCAAGAACTCCACTGACGCGGGCAAGCTGCACCAGTGCATCCATACATCTTTGGTGGAAAAGAGGGAGCTCTTTCAGGACTGTTTGTTTGGTTAGTTTATTACTTATTACTTAATCCTAATCGCCAACATATAGCACAAACTAACCTAGCTAAACATAAACTGTGAAATGATATCTCAATGACAAACAAAATGAAATAGACAACAACAAACATGATATCAATGTCAAGAGTCAAGAGTCAAGAGTCAAGAGTCAAAATAAATGATATGATTCAATATGATATGTATATGATTCTATGATGTTTGCATGGTTACTACCCTGAAAGGACTCAGTGCTGAATGTGGCGCCAAACGCAGTGAAAGTTCCTGAAAATGATTTTGACATCAAGCTTATCAAGAAGTCGCTGTGTGAATTGTTTGACGCCATGGTCGCTGCTGAGCTCAAGATGGTGAAGGCATGCATGGCTACCCACATGGATGCTGTGAAGGTCTTTGCTGTGGCATATTTGACTGGATCAGATGGAGAGATGGACTTTGATGCAGCATTCACTGATGCTGAACAAGCTTCCCTACGCCTAGCGTGTCTTCCCAATGATGATCCAGATCGAGCAGTTGGTCTCGCGGCTATGCAGTTTCTCAGCAAGCTCTTCACTCAAGGACATCGGTTGTTGGTTGTGGGCTGTGTTGCTGGATGAACAATCAACTACTTCAGGGAATCTTAGTCTTGAGTCTTGAGTCTTGAGTCTTAGTTTTGTTATTCTGCGTAAATTGCATATTATATATATACATAATACATACATGAATATAATATAACATATCATAACATAACATAACATAACTAAATATAATATAATATAATATAATAATAATGATAATAATAATAATTATAATTATAATAATAACAATAATAATAATATAATATATATATATATTATATTATATTATATTTTATTATATTATATTAATTATACCTTAATCTTTCTGATTCATTCATGTATATTGACAGGACAAACGAAATCCAAGTTCACAGAATTGGATGAGACGCACAAGCTGGTGGACAGGCTGCTCAGTGTGGCACAGAGGCTTAAATCCAATATTGATCTTCTTCGGTCAACAGGCTCGGTTTCATGGAGTGCCATTTGGCAGTTCTTGAAATTGAACGATGCGGTGGACATTGTGGATGTTGAGTCCAGGCTATCACATGAGACTGAGAAGTTGAAGGCTGATTATGCACAGCTGCTCAAGAAGCAGGACTGATATTACACTGGTTTCGGAGAATTTAGAGAGTCTAGAATAGAATTCATATATTTCCAAAATACATTGTTAGTTTGAAATAACATGTTTATTCCAATTTCTCTTATATATGCTTGTTTTCTATGGTTGTGGTCTCTAAGATTTTAATAAGTGACAAGTTACAAGTTACATGTCTGATAAGTCTTACTGGCGGTGGTTGTAGTTCAGTCCAATTTGGTTGTACAGGAGGAGGCACTTTGGGCGTTATGCGAGCAGGCCAACACCATGAATCCTCCTGATGCAATGGCCTTGGTCTATGACAAAAGTCCCGATGTAACGCCCAAGATGGATGATATTCCACAGGTGTCCCAGCTCAATGACAAGCATCTTGCCAAAGTCACTGCGGAAATGCAATCCCTATTCGAAGTCACAGACGCTACTTATCTGATCTGTGTTCAAACTTGTTGTGTTTAATCAAATTGAACCATAAATACATTATAGTTGAGTTGAGTTCGGTGTTTTCATGGTTTTGCCATTATATTTTCTTTGTTTATTGTTTCAAAGTAAATTAAATACTTAACTGAACTTAACTTGTACTGAACTTGTACTATATTATACTATGTAGTTGATTTACACTCATTATCTACTAGTGTACTAGTCTACAATAGTATTCAATAGTAATTACAGTATTGTTAATGTTGGTGTGGTCAGTACGATGAGGATTTGTTTAAAGTATGTTCAAGTTAACTGGTGCCTTTAATTTATATAATTTTCATTTTCTTACATCTCTGAGCCTCAGGAATGCCGCAAAATGCTGACCGATGACGAGTCCGATGCAGCCAAGAAATTGCAGATAACAACACACAAGGACAGGCTGTTTGGTGAGTAGTACTTTGAATCACAAAGTAACTCAATCCAAATCTTGAATCTTGGATCTAGACTCTAGGATCTAGATAGGTTGGTGTGTTGTAATGTTGTAATTTGTAATGTATGTTGCTGTTGTATTCGAAGTCAATTGGTGGCTTAGCTAGTAGTTGGTAGTTGATTGTCCGAATTAATGCCTTACTGTTCTCATTTATCATTGTTGAACTTGATTGTGCCTTTTTAGTTGGGTATGTTTTATCGAAACTAACTTAACTATTGGTTTTTACTTTGGTTTATATCGAATTTGTTGGAAACAAATATTGGATTATGCTTCAGTTTCAGTTTCATCATTGCAGGCGCAGAGCATCTACCACAACCTTGTATCACTCATGGCGGTGATTGCCCTTTTGAAGATTTTTTCATGCCGGCGATGGGCTAAGGCAATGACTGCAGGTAACAAACCTCCTGCAAAACTCATCAAAGAACTTAAAAAAACCATGTTGACGGCAAGGGAGCTTGGGCTGAATGTGCCTGCAAATCTGCAAGCAGCAGCGTCTAAGCACTCCTCAGCCATTGACGAGAGCTAAGTGATGGTTTCTGAATTAGTAGTTGAATCTTTGAAAACAGAACATATGTTGATTGATGATTGCTTATTTGCTGCTCAAACATTGTTTGATGATTGATTATGATTGCTTTATTTTCCTTCTGATGATTTGATTGTTGCCAAATACTCAGCGAATCCATCACTAGCTTTGGTCAGTGGGGTTTTATGGTGTTGCTCCGGAGAATGTGGGTTGCTGCTCCGTAGCACCTGAGTCACCGCTAAAAGTAGGTGGTGTGATTCTAGTTGTTTCGTTACATACCTAATTCATAAAGGTCTACCATAGATCGAACTCCAAATGATGATTGCGCATTGCACAGGTGCCATTTGCTGAGGTAACTTGTGTGTTTTGTGATTTGACTATGTGACTGAATGAGTTTAGTTTTAGTTACTAGTTACTAGTCACACTAGTCATTTGTTTTGTTATCATTCCTTCTCGACTTTACTGGTTATTGGTTACAACTTACAACACTAGTTTGCACAACCATACCTCAGCTAGGCTATGTTTCCGCGCACATGATGATGTCCGACAGACTCACTCATGAGTCAAAGACTGGTCAGGTCAGATCATTCTGATCATAGCCATGAGACAATGGGAAAGGAAAGACATGTTGCGGCCATGTTGCCTTTGTATTTGTACATGGTTCAGGTTAGGCTTGCATTGTGTGACATACACAATGTACACGATCATACCAACTTACTGGTTAGTAAAACTAAAAATGAATATGAAAACTGAAACTGAAACAAAACATTTCTGTAAAGGTTGTTTGTGTGAATTTGTGTGGTTGTCTTTCTGGCCTGTTTGTGATGTGTGCTCAATCAAGAGTCAACGGAACCATTCTGCAAACTGCAGAATGTCGAACAATGCCCTAAGAGATCGAATCAAATTCAAAAAAAATGATTCGCCTAAGCATAACTAACACAACACAACACACAACTAAATAATAATACACACACACATATTGCACATCACATGACATATATCATATATATATAATTATATATATGTGGTATCTTGGTGGGGAACAAACAGTCTTGTGCCTATTGAAAGCCTATAGGCACCACCATAGGTGGCGCAATGGGTAAGGCTGGTAAGAGAGCTGCACCAACGCCAGCTGCATCAAAGCCAGCGGTACAACCCAAAAGGCAACGTAAGGCGGGCAGTAACAAGGATGAACTACCAATACTTTCTGAGGATGAGAAAAAGAAGTACAAGAGCCAGTGGGAAAACTTCCGTGTGGTCATGTGGTTCTATTGATTTGTAAACTTTATTGTTAATGTCACCGTTAGTTGATTTTTTTTGTATCTGTTTTCAACTTACTTTTTTTTTGAGGGAGGGGTGGAAATGGGAAGAAATACAATACTAACATCAGATCCATTTAGCCCAGGTGAAACCAAAGACAGAAGCTCAAGAACATGATCCAAAAGCGTCATCATCGTCTAATGCCATTGAACTCAAGGAGACTGCTGAACCCAAGGAGACTTCTGAACTCAAAGAGACTGCTGAACCCAAGGAGACTTCTGAACTCAAAGAGACTGCTGAACCCAAGGAGACTTCTGAACTCGATGCGACTGCTGAACCCAAGGAGACTTCTGAACTCAAGGAGACTGCTGAACCCAAGGAGACTTCTGAACTCAAGGAGACTGAGACCCCTGAAATCAAGGAGCACAATGCTGAAGCATTTTCCTAACATTTGACTTTAACATTTTGATTTAACTTTTCAACTTTGAATTTGGGTTACTTTTCAACTTCTGGCTTCAATTCGTTCAAATTGTTTCTTGGTTAAGTTAAGTCTGACTGCATCAAGTCAACACCCACCCATAGACAACATACTTAGCACTGCTAACTACTTACATCTCACAAACTCACAAACTGCACTTAGGCAATGGACATTGATGTTGCTGACGCTGACACTGATAGTGTTACCAACGCTCTTGGCGCATTGATCAAGGAACATATGGATGAGGACGAGAGTGAACTTGAAATTTGAAAGTGAACTTGAAACTTTGAAATCTGAAACATAAAAACAAAGACAAAACAAAAAACAATGTAACTTAACTTGTCTAACATTAACAAATGTAACATGAGTGACAGTGACGTGTGTTAATGTGTCAAACAGTAAATGCCGTCAACCACACATATGTTACCAATAAATCAGAGAACTAACTGTAGTGCAGCTTGCATGTATGTATGTATGTATGTCTGTATGTCGGTATGTCTGTATGTATGTCTGTCTGTCTGTCTGTTTGTCTGTCTGTCTGTCTGTCTGTCTGTCTATATGAATGTAGGTATGTAGGTATGTAGGTATGTATGTATGTAGGTAAGTAGGTAAGTAGGTAAGTAAGTAAGTAAGTAAGTTAGTTAGTAACTTAGTAAGTTAGTAAGTAGGTAAGCAGGTAAGTAGCTAAGTAAGTAAGAAGCAAGTAAGTAAATAAGTAAGTAAGTAAGTAAGGAAGTTAGTTAGTAACTTAGTAACTTGGTAAGTTAGTAAGTAGGTAAGTAGGTAAGTAAATAAGTAAGTAAGTAAGTAAGTACATATGTTAAGTGTGTGTGTTTGTTTGTGTTTATATTATGTATGTATCTGTGTTTGAGTCATGAACCATATGATGAGTTTGTTTGCTCTTAAGTTAAGCCACGATAATTCAAAGTTCTAGCAATGTTCACTAGCTAGTGCTAGTCTTCTGTCTGTTTGCAGGAGAACGATCCTGAACAAGCCTTGTTTGATTATCGATTCAAGATCGCGATGACCCACTCTTTGCTCCCAAGGTATGTCCAGCACATCAGAGATACTGAGGTTCTTAGCGAGGAAGAGTGGTCGTTTGGTACCCAGGAACCGACAGAAGATCTCAATGGCTTCGTTGAATGGCTGAAACAACAAGGTTTCGAATTGGAATATGAGATGAAGCTGCCCAAGATTGACAACTATGACAGTGTTGACCCTTCCGATGTTTTGGGAAGTGCTGCAAAGGCAATTGTTTGTCAAATGTGGAGTCATGACACACAAACCACAAGTAAAGCTAGCTATACTGGGACTTTGTATAATTCATTCATGTGCATTACACTAAAAGTTTTAATGTATTAGAATCATTAACTAGTCTGTTGCCAAACTTGTGTTATAGTCATAGTTATTATTCAATTGTTGCTGTTGTTGTTGTTGCTGTTGTTGCTGCTGTTGTTGTTGTTGTTTTTGTTTGAGGAGGGGGGTGATGGCGGGTGACATGTCTGGCAGGTTATGATTTCTCGGTTGACGAACTTAGCTCCCGAGCTGATGCAACAAAAGGTTCGTTCACTTCCGAGGACTTTGTCGGTTGGTGACTTCTTCTCAGGAACAGGTGCATTTTCCAAGGTGATTTCAGAAACTATCACTGCGTTGAAAGATATCTTCCCAGATGAGACGATTGATTTGACCGTGACTTGGCAGCCAAACACATATTAATATTGCAAAGGACATTCATTGAATACATGTACCAACTACAACTTACAAAAGGATTGTATTCAAAATCTAAAATTTACTATTTCTAAAATATATATGGTTATTATGTTTTCGATAGTTTTGATTTGATGATACTGGCAGTTGGATTCTTAGTCCTGAAAAACAAATCATCAGAATATGATATTTAAAAATACATAAAGTGAACAGTGAACAATAAACAAATCGATTCAGATGTGTTAGATCATTATTTTTCCAATGTTGTTTCAGTTTCAGTCTGGAAGCAGGGCCATGGCCATAACAAACCTCAATGTTTAAGTTTAACTGCTACCTACTGTTGATCCTCTTACTAATTGCCTAGTACTATCTATCACCCATCAACTCTAGGTTACAAGTTACAAGGTAGATTACAACTTACCTTACACATGCTATCCTATTCCGACTTTGTTTTCAGTTTTAAGTTTAAAGTTTCAGTTTCAAGGTTCAATTATTTGAAATATGGTATTTGTGTTGCTGACTCTAAGGCAAAGCATTGCTTTATGTCAGAGGTGGTGCAGTTCAAGCAGAAGTTCCTGCTGGAGGCTTTCAAAGGCAATGACTTCGACGATTGTTGCCTGTTCTCAGATGCAACAAAGGTGTTCACAGATGAACGGGAATGTCTTCGTCACAAAGGTCGAACTGCCCCATGTTCTTGCGAACCTTACCATTGAACTGTAAATATGTGTTATGTTATGTTACTTTATGTGTTTCACTTTTTTTCAGCTTACATTACTCCTAGCATCGCTCAAATCTAATTCACATTTGAAGATTTGACATTTGCAAACACAATATCCATTAGTAGCTTGTTAGTTTCCTTTTTACCAATTCAAATTCACGTCAAATCAAATCAACATAGCAATGAAATATGATGAAGTCTTTTGGGATCAACATTTTTTTTGTTGGATGAATGTTTTTTTTTGGTTGGATGACAGCCCTCCATCATCGGTTCAATGACAAAGTGAGGAAATTCCATCTGAGCTCAACATATTCGGCGGTGGATTCTCTTGCAAGAGCTTCAGCAAACTCAACAATGAATTTGAGTCGTTCAAAAAAGCTTTGGCGGAAATGATGGAGGACACACAATATTAGTTTAACAGTTTAACTTATGTTTCAAGCGTTTTCTGGACATTTGTTCTGATGGATTGCGTGATGTAAGTACAAAGTTGTAACTGGTGATTTGTGAGTCACTTTACTTCATACTTGTTCGCAGGAATCGTCCTCATATGTGACGTTTAAATCATGCAATGACGCCCTAAAGTTCATCGAGTTGGATATGTTTCTGCTTGAGAATGTCGACCTGGAGGCAGATTCAGAGAACCTGACACTGATCCTGAAAGCATTATCTGAAGCTGGTTTCTCCTGCAAGACATACAAGCTCATATCCAGCGATTTCGCTGTTCCACAACGAAGAGTCAGGATATATATCCTAGGATTCTCAAACAAACGCCAGCCGCAGATTGCTTTCAAGAACGTTGACAAAATGATTGATCTATTTCGTCTTCCATGTGTGGACCCAGTAACTCGATTCACAATTCACTACAACTTCAAGACTTCACAAGTTTCACTTTTATTTTATTTTTTGTGGCAGGTACTGGACATTCATGGATACACCAGACTGATAGTGACGGTGACAAATGACAAATGACACATTACACTGACTACACTACACATTGACAAACACACATTTCTCATCATTGAGTCACTATGCCATTGAGGACAAGTTTCTCCTCGATGACGATGACCCTGCCGTGATGAAAGAATTGGATCGACGTCGATCAGTTCGTGCTAGAGCAGATCAGCCCAAGGAGCCGGAGAAGAATCAGAAGAAGGACACCGCTGGTGACAAAGGTACAACCGAGGAGAAAGAGAAAGACCAGAGCAAATGGCAAGCTACACACCAAGAATTGGCAGAGAAACGTGCCCAGACTAATTCCAAGTTGGTTCAGTGTTGACTTCAACTTCATGAGTGACTGACTTCAACTTCATTTAGTTAGCTACTGGGTAGTTGATGACAACAGCATGACTGACTGATATGTACTGATACTGATACTGATACTATTATACTATATTATTTCCAAGTTTCCAAGTGTGATCACCCATCAACATTGATGTCACATTGTCCTCAGTCCTTCCCAAATTTCATTTGGATTATGACAAATCCTAGGCGGCATTCAATGGCCACTGACTGTGCCAGATGAGCTTAGCAAGTCTGAGTGGTTCTCGACATTGAATGCGAGAGAGCAAGAGGCGAATTGGGTAAGTTTTTATTTTTTAACTTTCCACTTCAACAAGTTTGACTTCGACTTGAATTTTCAATTTACCGGTGAGTGACATGTTATGATTCTGATGTGAGTCACCTAGTCAAGACACACTGGGAGTTTGGATTTTGTTTTGATTTTTGTATTGATGAGGACAGGCTAGGCTAGACACTAGACACCCTAAAGTTTCGAGTTTCGAGCCTAGAATCATCGAACAACAACTTGTTGTTTTCGGGTTTGGGGGGTTGGGGCCAGGCGGCCACACTCAAACTTTGCAGGTGTATCTTTTTGTGCTGAATGAGAGCACAACATTGACACAATCTGGGAGGCAGCCAATTCGCTTTGCTGATATCTACCATTCAGCAAACAGAACACCGGTTTCTGCTGCTGATGTGACTTGGCTTCAATAGTTTTTTTTAATTATATATTAATAATAATAGTATAATAATAGTATAGTATAGTCTGCTTTAGAGTAGAGGCTATAGCCACTATAGTCTATCATAATATAGTGTCAATAGTCTAATCATAGTTCATCCAATTATATTTTGGTTGTCAACGATATCAATATAAATATAATGGTTAAGTTAAGTTAAGTCACCTAAGTAAGTTTATCAATTATCAATTAATTAATCACTAACTATGAAGTGTTTCTAATACATCCTATATGAGTTAGTCAGTAGTTAATACTTGTTGATTGATACATGACAATGACAAGTGACAAGTGTTTGGTTTAGTTTACTAAAGCTACTAACACTACTAGGTTACCAAGATTAGTTTTGCTAAGACTAAGACTCAGATTCAGACTAAGACTACTACAATACCATACATGTCATTATGTTTTTAATTTAATAACATAGCTGCTAATCAGCTAACGTTGCTAACTTAAGTATTAATTTATTGGATTATTAATATCAATGTGTTTTAATTATTGATGAATGGTTAAGTTTGGTTTGACATACTAATTTATGATCCTTGAGTTTATATAATCATTCGATGTACTTAACATTATTCATTATTACTTATCAGCATTGCATTAGTACTTTTGTGATCATTATGAATCAATATACTAATAATACTAATACTAATTATTATATTGATCTGGAACCACATACCTCACATAATAGTGGTGTATAATAGTGTATTTTGTTTCTACTCATGATACTAAAGGTAGATTTCGATAAGAAACAATGACATCAAAATGAGCTGTTGATCATCTAAGGTGCTTCCCACGATATTGCCGGGAACAAAGATGATTGACTTGCAGTCAAATGCGAAGCGTCTCCTCCTGGGAATCTTGGTTTACTTACCATTGGTTTGTTGGATTGGGCAACTAATGAATTACAATGTGACAAGTGAATACATACTGGCAAATGATTTTCTACTTCTTGTGGGTTGATGTCGATGGTTCAGTTTCAAGAAGTTTCAACTGACAATAAGGAAGGGAACTACTGGCACTTCAAGGACTTGACTATGACGATGGTCTCCTCGACAAATTCTCCGAGAACCAACTCAGCGATTTGGCTGGGAACGCGTAGCTTGCAAGCAATACATGGCTATGGCCTTATGATGACTCATAAAGGGTACTTCTGATGTAAAACCTAATGATTGATATTTGGTGATCACAGGTGATGCATGACATATGACGGGCCTTATTTCTGATACGATCAACGATGGCACCATCAACATTGCTACATAACCAGATATCATTTATAATTTATAACTTTTAGGATTTCATGGTTCTGTCTGATTCTGATGATTCACCTAATATATATATTATTTTATTATATATGTTGCTGTATTGGTGATAATTACTAATCAGAATCAATAATAGTAGTAGTATGAGTATGAGTATGATAATGATAATCGATAACTTGATATTTATTTTACGAGCACGGTACTGATACGATACATGTATGATTCAATAATAAATTATAGTTTATGATTTTATTTAATTTTTGCTGGAAATGAATACTATTTAAAATACATATTTGTTATTTTAGGATAAGCAATTATCAATTTCATATTCGTTTCAAGCTTCATGACTCATGATTATTATGATTATGATTCATGATGATCAATTTAACTATCGATGCTGATGATGATTGTGACTGATAAGATAATAATAATGAAATAAATAATAACAACAATTATAATTTTAATGATTCATGATAATTTATAATTGATGATTCTGGATGATGATGATGAGGATCAATGATGATGATTGATGATGATGAAGATGATGATGATAATGATATATAATGATAATGATAATGAATGATGACATATATATTATGATAGATGATAATCATGATTCCATGATGATGAATGATGGTAAACACTTGTGAACCAAGAACCGTGAATCATAATAATCTATAATGATTATGATTTATGATGATGAATGATTACAGTTAAAATTTAGGCAAATATAATCGACGAACAATGACAAACACTTTGATGATTCAAATGACTATGATGGTTTTACGGTTCTGATTCACATTTTTTTTGGTTTGTGGTGATGATTCATTTGTTAATCATCATCATTTATTAACTTAGACTATTAGTTTACTATTTACAATTGATACTTGTGATAACTTTGATTCATGATTCTTCTTGATGATTCATGATGATTGATATTTGATAGTAGTTGGTGGCTAATAATAAATGATTCATTATGTTTCTGCTTAAAATCGAATCAAAACATATATAATTTGTGATTCATAATTTTTGATTACTATGAATCATCATTCAACAAATCTAATGAATAACACAATATGATTAATTAATATATATATATTACAGGTGATGAAGGGAAACAATAATAATCCTGAATCATGACTCATGATTCTTGATTCATGATTCATGGTAACGGTGCAGATGCAGATATGATGATTAATGCTGATAATGATGATATTGGCGGATGGATTAATACACACATCACATAATAATTACAATTACAATTAATCATTTAAACAAAATATGAAAATTAAGTTATTAAAAAAAAAAACATGATAGATGAGTTCATCATGATGCTGAATGATGATGATAGCAATGATAAGTGATAGGTGACAGTGATGTGACGATTCATAATTGATTGATGATCGATGATTGATAATGAATCATGAATCATTATTGAATATTTTGTGTTGACTCACTGATGCTGACCGGTGAATCATGATGATGATGATGATGAATCGATGATTAAAAAACAATAGTGATTTATATTTTTCAAAAAATAATAATTGATTAAGAAATTAAAACACTTGATATAGTAATAATAATATGAAAATTTTAATATTAATATAATATTAATATTACTGTAATATTAATATTAATATTAATATTAATATATAATGATTCAACACAATTGTTGATGATTCATGCTAATGATGTTGATGAGGGTGATGATTGTTCCGATGGTGATTATGATGATAATGATGATGATGATGATAATTAATGATGATGATGATCAATGATGATGATTCTATGAAGCCTTTTCTGAATGCACTCAGATACACATCGACGGCTTTTCTCACAATGTTCCTGGCGGGTCTCTTCGAGTTAAGCTTTGTGACTCCTAGCGAAAGCGAACAGGAAGAGGAAGTTTCAAGCTTTGTGACACAGCCCCCTACTTGTGTCAGCAAGGTTTTCGGATTAATCTTCGGATTGATGTTGTTTATCGTTGTCGTCGTCGTAGTTGTTGTTGTTGTGGTGTTTTTTTGGAGGGGTGAGAAGTATGCTATTCAAATCTCCAAATCTCAATTGATTGGTTAAGTTATATTATCATTGATCATTAGTATCATTATATAGTAGTTAGTAGTTGCAAATTGTAAATGCTATCTGAATCTCATTGACTCATCTACCTTACCTAAGGCTGAGTCAACACAGCCACAACCGTGGACCAAACTAGCTGGTGAGATGCACTGGTGAGCTTGGGTATACCCTCAGCAACAATGCTGGGACGAGAACTCCGTTGAGATGTGAGATAAACGGAACGGGTTTTGTAAAATACTGCAATTGAATATGTCTCGCTTTGCCTAGTGCTGAAAGCATATGATTTATGCCTAGCATAGCTTGAGACAGTTCGTGGCATACCATTCGAATGCAACGGAATCGAGCAAGAAAAAAGGATAGTTGCCGACCATTGCAACTTGTGTCGCGCAAAAAGGACACATGGTACATTGAAAATTGAATTTGTGGTCTGTGAACATACATCATACACATACACACATTGTATGTCGCACATGGCATCGTGCATTCACCGGTGCAATGCGCAATGTGCTGTACATCGCACAGGGCATCGTCGTACATCGCACATGGTATCGCACATCTTTAATGTACATCGCACATGGTATCGTGCATCTTTGCCGCTGCAAGGAATGTACCTCGCACATGGTATCGTACATCCTTGCCGTCGGGGCCATCGTCATAGATTCAAACAACCCTACATCACATGACTATCAAATTTTGATAATATATAATTATAATATATGTGTATACACTATTGTGAAGTGGATCTTCCAGTAGTTGTATATACACTATTTTGCTCTCATTGTCACAGACCTCACTGTGACTGTGGATCAGAGCTTTTCAGATGCACAGCTTAGTGGAGAAAAAAATCTGCTTGTTGTGGAACCTTGACGGGCCCTGTGCATGAAAATATTCTCTCAAGGGTTTCGACTTCTTTCTATGGGTGCTATTTAGGGGGATGAATCATGATGAATCCACACCAATTCTGTTCCAGGATGCCTAAGACAGATGTTTTTTGACTTTTGTTTCCAGATTTTCCAGCCTTTCTCTTCTTTTTGTGCATTGGTGAGGTCAAGCCATCGCGTACATTTTGGGCATTCGGGCAGGATTGTTTGGGTGCCGAGTCTTGGATGACCCCAGGTTTTTGTGCGATTAGGCCCACACATGGCTGGTTGCTTCTATGGACTGTGGTATTAAACCATATTGAACCTTGAACCATTCATTTTTTGGGTGGTCAATGATGAGTTCCTATGATTTAGACCCACGTCAGGCTGAGTTCCGAGCCCGCCTCTGTTGAACCAAGGCAAGCCTCTGAGAAAGGCGCCACTGCGATGATGTCCATCATTCATAAACAGTTGACCCCAGGGAATTCCTTTTTTTTCTGGAGTTTACTGAGTTTACCTCTGAAAATTTCAAACATATGTCAGTGGATATAGATATATATATATACAGTAAAAAGATCTATGGATGATCTCAGCACCTGTCGTGATCCAGCATGGTAACTTCAACGGAAGGTGAAGACTCAAGTGCCAAAACCTCAGTGCCTTTTTTGGAACCTCCCTGGCCACAAATGGGTTTATATTTCTGTGGGGCTGGGTCCTGTGACAAAGGTGTACTCGTCAAGGAACAAGGCCTATTAAAGCTTATTAATGCTTATTATTTATTGCGGGATCAGTCTTACCTCCCCAGACACCATGGTCGTTTGGATGGAATGATACGAATGATGTCAAAAGAGGGGGGCATTCACAACCATGACGATGACGATGACGACGATGATGATGATGATGACGACGATGATGATGATGATGGAATTCATTGTCCCTCGAAGGTCCCAAATGTATCCGAAATCGTTCTCGCAAAAATATGCCGGTCCACCAGTCTGCACTGGTCTGCAGAAGCATTTTGGCCCTTGATTTGCGGGCTGGGTGGGGGGCAGCCATTGGCTTCGCGGCAGGTGTTTGGGCGGTTTTGTTCCAAGGGAATGCGCTACCACTGAGAGTAACTCTGTCTTGGAGCTGTTTCTCTCCCCTTGCATGTGAGACGCCTTGTGCATCCTTGTGCACGGTATCCGAAAGCATGTTGATGCATAATTTTGTCTATGAGTAACATTGTACAACATGATACTATACATGAACATTAACATTAGCAATCACATTATAACATTTGCGTTACATTACATTTCATGCAGTTATGCAATGTTATTTATTGTGCAGTTCTACATATTTGAATTGGATTTGGCCCTCTCTCCTTTTGAAAACATGCCCGACATCACATCCGCCCAGTCATGCCACTCACTGTCAGTCTGATCAGCGGGAAGGCGGGATCGAGTGATATTTGTTGGACATTCGTGGGCCAGCCATGGCAATTTGGGCATCCAAATATTGGGGACTCAGGATATCTTAGGATGATTTGATGTGCTTTACAAGAAAGGGGAAAAGTAATTCCATGCTGATTTACTACTACAGTTGTGTTGTGGCTCTTTTGGGCTGGGCGCGGCTATCTATCAAATTATCAAGTTATTTGGTCCCCTCCAAAGGGAAATCACACCAGAAGGATCCATAAAGTATGAACTTGTGCTTATTTTCCTGCAGTGTTTTGATCAGAACTCATCTTAATTGTCATTTTGATTCATTTTGTGCTAAGTTTTTTGAGATGGGACATTTATTCATCTGGGTAAATTATAACGACCTCACTGGAAATCATAGTTAGTAAGGGGAATCATCCCAAAATGGCCCAACAATTCAGGTTAGTGAAATATTATAATTTACCCAGATTTATGGACATGTCCCATCCAAAAATCCCAGCCATTTCTCCAAAAAGCCCGCAGTCGGTGCTGGATCTGCAGCACTTCGAGGGCAACGGTGCGGAGCTCCGGGAGAAAGTGGGCCGCGAGCTGCGACTCACACCGCAGCGCTTGAGGCCGGAGCTGACGTGGGAAAAAGCTGGGTATTGGTGGGTGATATCATGGGGATACTAATTTTGGGATATAATCATGATCAGAATAATTTGATCAATATTCTGGCTAAGTATCATAATGATATATATATATAATGATATATTATATATATAATAATAATAATTATGTTCTGATATATCTTAATACTTGGCTAAGTCCGTCCATATATCCCGAAGATGGCCATTTGGAGCAGGGAAATGATCAAGCATTGAGGGGGCCTGTTCAATCCCACTCCAATCATTGGCCAAAAACGGCGAGATTTATTACTGTAACCAACTGAACATGGGAAGGTGTTGATGAGGGATGATAACCCCACTAGCCTTCTATATTGGGAAGTACAAAGCCCCTAAGAATTGAATGCGTGGTGCTTCAGCCAGTTTTTGGCCATTGCAGTCTGGAATGAATAGGAACTCTTGAAGTGAAGATTCACACCCTTGGGGGTAGAAGCTGTAGAAACCAAGGTTTCCTGCAGGTTTTCCCAACATTTCCAAATCTCAAGCCCTCGAAATCGAAGGTGCCCTTTCCGAACTTCGAAGCGCCAGGCTAGTGACCCCAGAGAACACGGAGATTGAAGACGAAGCGACGTGACTTGGCGAAGCTTCGTCAAAAAATATCGACCCTCCGGGGTTTGAACTTATCGGTCCTGTTGATGATTTGGCCAAAACCAGAACTAACATGAACTAACCATAATAACCATAATAACTAGTAACAGTTAGATAGGAGCATGTAAATATCTATGCGTATGTCAAGATACTGTGTGACCATCCATTTAACATTATTCCACCATACCTTCGAATAAACGTATAATTTATCATGTGTCTCTATAGATTTCCATTTTTTCGACCATATATTATATTTTTATATAATATATATATATATATAACATAATATAATATATATATATATATGTTATATAAATATCTGTATATTATAATATGGACACGCACACATTAATTGAGCTCCAGGTCAGTGGGTCACTTCCCAGCCGAGACGGCCAGGATCTCGGAGGAACTGACGAGCCTCACCGCCATGGTGGGCGAAGGCAAAGAGATCACCGATTGGTGTCCCTCGCAAGAACTCATCGGTGCCAAGTTGATGGATTTTGATGGGGATGGGAGGGATGGGATTGGCAAAAAACAAATCCGCCAGAATCATCCTCCCCATGTGTTGGGGACATGAAATGGCAGAATGAGGTTCTAAACCATGGAATGATGATAATGATGCAGACTGGGGCCAATTTTCAGGTACCAAGCCCATGTTGGTTGGAACAGGTGGGAGTAGATGGGTTTTGAATGCTTCCAAGACATGACAGTTGAGAAAGATGAACCCCAGGGCCACATCCGAATTGGCTCAATTTGCTACGGTTTTTGCTTTGCTTCAACCTCAAACATCCCTGGACGGCTTCATAAGCACTGCATGCCACGAACTTGGGTTTACGGCCGAGGTCGTGACGAAATGGTGCATTACTCCTTCCAAGAGCTTGAAGACGGCCTCAATCTTCCAGCTGATGCGATTGAAACCAGTCCCAAGATCATTGGGAAAGTCATGATGCTGGGCATCGCGAAGGCCATGGGCGATTGGAGTTGTTGATTGCCCTGGCAATCAACAGGGATTGGAGTAAGGAGCCGTGAACCCAGTGGTTCAAATGATCAATTTTTTGGGGGTATGGTGTTCAATACCCACTGAATGGTTCAACAAATGTAGATGGGATAATGGGATATGGTTTATGAATCGTCATGATTGGCTTTACCGATACAGTAGTTACTAGTTACTAGTCACCTACTTTACCAGCCTAGTCTGACTTCATGTGAATCCTTTCCGAATCCCTCAAGAGCCACATGCTTTGTCGTTGTGGCGATTCATAAGGGAACACCAATGATACCAATGCCACGTAATGCACTCTGACATATATGTAGGCAGATACGGTAGTGTAATGTAGTAATGTAACAAAACACGTCGTCACAGAACAGAACGATACGTTATCGTACGTAGCGGATGGTACACGGGGTGGTGTGGCATGGTATGGTATAATGGTATATAATATATAATGGTATGTATGCATGCATACGGACAAACAACACACACAGACACATAATATATATATATATATCAAAAAATAAGTAAAACATGGAGAAATGGATGATAATGATAACACATTTATACTTGTGCACCTGCATATTCTAGCATCATGGATGCCAAAAGTGCAGGTCCAGGTGTTGTTTTTCTTCCAGCCGTGGCCAGGTCAACTGCGAGGTGTGGAAAGAGTATAACAACTTTCTCAAGGCTCCGCAGCTGGGCGCCGAGGGCCTCGAAACAGTGATAGCATCAGTTCATTTTCCTGAGAGTGTTCAATGCTGAGAGGGCCGTGGGCCATGACCAAAATCCCTGGTGGATGGTGTTCCGAGGTTGTTTTTTGTCAGACATTTTGTCGTGTATGGTTTGGACACCTCCCAGATGCGGGAAGCCCATGGTGGGCCTATAGGGCCTATGTCTGTGTCCAGCCCTCGTTGCATGGCAGTTGGGGGCAGTTCCTGCCAGGAGCACAAAAAGATCCTGAATGCGTGTACCTACTGGGACTGGGACTTAGATCAAGACGAGTTGGAAGAGGAGGAAATGCAGTTCCGTTACAACCGCGGCCGTTTGGCCCCGGGCACTGACGCTTGGCTGCGCTTGGTTTGGCTGGAAGGTGAACATGGCGAACTGATGTTTCCATGGTTACCATAATTTGCCAAGAAGCCATGGATGCTTGAAATGGGAGCTTAAAACTACGGGATGATTATTTTGAAATTTCAAGCTTTAAAGTGCGGGAACTTTGGGCTCTGGAATCCTGTTGGTGCCAGTCTAATGGAGAAATATGGAGAAACAATATGTTCCAGCCACTTTTGCACAGATTCGATCATGGCTGTAGTCAATGGTTCCGCAATCTTCAGCAATCTTCTTGGGTTGCACTGTTGCGGATGCTCCTAGCAGCTCCCACGCAGCAGCTTTTCGTACGACCTTGCCATTTTGTGTCCAATCTATTCCACATCCTTTGTCAAGATCAATCCAAGTGTCTCGCAAGCTTTTGGGACTATAGGAGATATACACATCCTCTTGTATGATAATATTATTTATGTATCATCCTGCCAGGATTTTTGTATGGAATAAGCTATAGGAGATACACACATCCTCTTGTTACAATATGTGTTTGCTTATTCCATTGTGACAATATTAAACTTATTAAACCATCAATGTTTTCGGGGGCCGGGACGCCAGGACGCTCTGGGCTTGGTGAAGCCAGAATGGAGTCTCAGCTGGTGGCAGCCGACTGTGAACTACGGGATTTTCCTTTGTGTTTTGTGTACCAAGAGTGTTGATGCATTCTGTAATGTCAACCCTGGATTAATAAACCCCTAGGCTGTTTAATTGGGAGGAGTACCCCCCTAATTAATAAACCATGGTTTATTAATCCGGGGTTGACATTATTCTACAATTCATTTGGTTAGTTGTTTCATTCTAAGTCATACAGTCGTACATATTCTTCAAACGGTCCATCCTGACACATGATAATGATTTTAATGGGAATGAGATGATGGTCCACAATATCACCATCAGTCACTATCTAGATTAACCCCCAAGAAGATAGAACTGGTTCAATTATGTTCAATTTATCATCAGCATTATTTCGAAGGATGTTTTTGCATGTCTATCTTCTTGGTGATTGGCACCCTCCAGTAAACTAACAAAGCTATTTAATTAATTATAGACGATAACTATAACCTTTCTAAAATTGTGATTTTCCATAGCTATGTTCCGTTACTGGAGGGTATGCCTCAGCAGGATGTGGTACCATGTGGTACCATGTGGTACCTAAACAAAGGACTGCAGCCAAAGCGAAGTTGAAGACCAGCGAGGAAGCGGCAGCTCGCTTTGAGATACTTTGATGCCCTGAGGTGATCCACATCTGATTCAAATAGGACTTTTGGATCTGGGGATGGTTATTACATGTTATTACTATTATATACATGTTGTTACCGCCCGTGTCTGGTAGCATTGTACAATTGTACATTGTTTATATCACTTAAGGTTATACTTGGTTGATAAACAGCAGAGACCCCACTTGTTGAGCCTTTTCATGCCTTTTCTATATTTACAATTTCTTTACATAATTTTAAATTACCGTGAAATCACCTTGATCAAAGAGCCCAATGATGAACCCATCTATGGCACTTTGCCAGTCATTGGATGCCACATTAGCCACGACCCGGTTGTGGCTCCATCGTACCCAGTTCCACGATGTTCCACGGCCCCAGGCTTATGCCTTCGCATATTTGGACGATCGCTTAAGGAAGTCCAAGAACAACTACTTCTACTGTCGCTGGCAGGACAGCGGCACGATGGAACTGGATGGAACTGGATGGAACTGGATCCTGTTTGGACGTGCTTCCCCGAGCTCGACACCTGCACCTGTGTCTTCAAATTATGAGAAAAATGCAGAACCGGACCCAGAAAATCAGCACCGCGAAAATCAGCGTTTTACTAACTCTTTACTGGCCAGAGCTGAAAAACCCTGGATTCGCCCCAATTTTTGGGGAAAAGTGTGAGCTCACAGGACAGTTCACCATGGTCACCCGAACACTCGAATCCCATCAGCCAGGAGCATGAGGAGAATGGCCAAAAGAAGCGACATCGTGCATCTCGGCCGTCGCCGTGGGATGTCCCGAGGGATCCAAAAGGGGCTTTGCTACGTATGTTGTGATATGTTGTGCCACAATGGGTTGTTTCTTGATAGGGTGCACCAGAATATAGCCAAACTTCATGGTTGACCATCGTGTGTTTAAGTATCAAGTTGATCAAAATCGTTATTTTTTGGAATATCCCGCCCATTTTCGGACAGTCACCCGCATCCAATCGGCCCTTTGTCAGGTTTATGGCATTCGTCAGGAATACGCGGCAGTGGAGTTTGAGAAGGTCATGGGTCGATGGCTGGAAGTGGAAGGTCGTTTTGATAAGGCGCCATGGCCACGGGGCACGACAGAGATTCAGCACAGAACCAGAAAAAGTGTGGCAAAAGTTTTCTAAGATGGCACAGGAATCAAAATTCACGTGCTGAGATGTGCTAAGCATTTTTTTCGAAGGTGCAGCGTTGAAGTGTTAAATGTTTTTTTGTGCAATCCCTTCTCCTATCATGACACATCCAACACCAGCAAGGGATCCCCAAAGTGAACAACATTGAACTGGTTGGCAACAGTTGGGCTCTTGCGTAACATAGGACAGGGCCACTCAATAATATATATTCACACGGTGTGGGTATGATTTAAATGTTAATCATCATAAAAAGAAAGCGCAAAACTGTTTCTAATCATGATATTAGATACTCCCAATCGTGACCATATGCGACCATTAGATAATCTCAACATGTGAACACAAATCTGAGAATCTTAAAATATGTTTAACATAATCCCAACAGTTAATTTTGGACAATCCCATTATATTTATCACAAATTACCACATTTTAAACATCGAAAGATGACCCGCAAAACCGGCACAGTTGGCTGCCAAGAGTTTGACCTCCTTGTGGGAGACGCGTGCCTGGGAAGCCAGAATCCAGCTGGTTAGATGACCAGACCCAAATTGGGGTTCTTTGGTTGGTGATATATGGATAATCCAAATTTTACGGCATTTGAAAAGATGTTGAAATTCTTAAGGGCTACAAGCTTTTTCTCTTGCATCTAAAGTTATTCTTAGGCCCTTTATGGCCCTTTTGTTTGGGGGAGACCTATAGTTGAAATTATGTGAAGTCCCAGATGCGAGGCATCACCACACTGATCTCGGTGCGGCAACTCTTCAGCGTGGACTCAACGGTGGACAAGGTCAGGAGTTTCTGCAGCATCCTTCACTTGGCGTTGCTTGGCATGGCAAGAACCTGGCTACGCGGCTACCTCCATTGTGATGATGTTGTTTTTATTGTTATTCGAATGTGTTGTTATTATATCATATTATATCATATTATTATTATATTATATCTATTATAGTCTGCAATGATAGTTTTGGTGGATGCACGCCATGAATCAATATGATATGATATGATATGATATGATATGAATCAATATGATATGATATGATATAGTATGAGATAATCTGATATGATACAATTGATATGATCAATATGATCCAATTTGATATAACAAGATCCAACATGATTAGGAGGTATCTATTATCGGATGAGGTGTTTCGATTCAAGCTACGTTAGTATAGTTCCACCCAGTCTAAGATGGTGAAGCCACGCCGTGCCTGCCGCACAGCAACAGGCTTGAAGATCCAGAGAATGCCCGCACCGCATGGCTGAAGAAACACGTATCGCGGTTGCAGGTTTCGAGAATTTACAGGCACATAAATGTGCCATAAACATGTATGGCCTTCATGGCCCATATGGCCCATATGGCCCATATGGCACATATGGCACATATGGCACATATGGCACATGGTACATGTTTTGTTGCAATCTCCATCTTCCTATTGCTATTGGTCCAGGTTGCTATTGATCCTTATTGACCATGGTAGATCTCCAAGAACAGAATCGAAGGAACCAACTGAAAGCCTTGCTATAAATTATGCACACCCACACACCGATAGATATATATTAATATATAGATAGATTAGATGAGATGAGATTATTAGATTAGATTAGGATTTGGCAGGGTTAGATTCGATGAGATCAGATCAGATTATATAGATAGATTGATTGATAGATACAGTATGATATTGTGGAGTGTGTTGGCTTCTTTATTTGCCATTTCTGTAAAATCCAGAAACTATTTCTCGCACAGGTAGAAACCATTTGCTAAATACTAGAAACTATTTGCTAAATACTAAAAAAATTGTTGAATACTAGAAACTATTTGCTAAATACTAGAAACCATTTGCTAAATACTAGAAACCATTTGCTAAATACTAGAAACCATTTGCTAAATACGAGAAACTATTTGCCAAATTCTGGAAACCATGTGCTAAATACTAGAAACAATTTGCTAAATACTAGAAACCATTTGCTAAAGAAGTAGGATATGTAGAAACATTTTTTCAAGTAAAGTAGAAACCATTTGCTAAATCATTTTGATTTTCCAGAAACCATTACTTGAATCAAAGGGGTAATATTTGCAAGTAAAAGTTGTTATTGACCATGTTGTCAGGGCAAACCTGGTCAATCTTGGAACACGCATTTGCCAATGGTAGTTTGTGGTGAGAAAGAACTCATGTCTTTACCCCACATGCCAGTTTAATGGTACGAGCCTCCTTCACCCATGGCTCACCACACTGAAACTGTTGACGCTTGAAACCTTGAATCCAATTGGGAGTAGTATCGCGCCATACTGAGTTGTAATGTTGTTTCAATCCAGGAAAGGGTGTATCAAACAGCAGCATAAACACATACCCTGTCCCAATGCAGTTTTTGCCAAATGCACCATACAACGCCGCGAATACTTCCACACGCGATACCCACAAGTGGGATCCAAGAAAATTGTTCCCAAAACAAAACCATGTGGCTGATAGCCTTTGCGGGTGAGTTGGGGGATGTTGTTAGCAGGCGTTTGCCACATCGCATTTTAGGCACCTCCGAGGATACCCAAGTCGGGGATTTCCCCCAAAAGTACGGACTGGTGTGTGCCTGAACTTTTCTCTATTTGTCACGGTCTGTCGGGGGAGCCTGGGGAGTCCGGTTTCGGCGGGAGCCTACCAGCTTAACCCTCCTAAGATGCAAATATGAAAGGAAACTATTTCTTAAATCCCAAAAACTATGTCTTAAATCCTGGAAACTATTTCTTTAATCCTGGAAATTTCTTAAATCCTGGAAACTATTTCTTAAATCCTAGAAACTATTTCTTCAATCCTGGAAACTATTTCTTTAATCCTGGAAACTATTGCTTAACCTAGGCCCCAAACCCAAAAACCATTGACAAAACCAGGATTGCTTTTACCAATCTCAATCGTTGGACAAGGATAGCAGTCAATCACTTGGAAGTCCAGAGATTGCCCCAGAAAAGTGAGCCATGTTCTCACCAAGAGAGAGAGAGGCTGCCAGGCCGTTGGCGCAGGCATTCTTCATTCTGTTTCGTTCTATGTTCTTTGACTCCTCATCTCAGGATCAGTCACTGTTTCTTTCTTACTTTTCAATCTGTAAAGAATTTCAATATATATCCCCTGCTAATGTACCTTTATAGAATGAGTTTGTGGTCGTTTATGGAATGCAGTTTTGGGTATCATTCTATAAACCCAGACTTGGGGGGAATCGATCGGACCGGCTGGAACAAGCAAGTACATGAACCCTCCCTACTCATTCTATAAAACCAAGGTTTTGCAACCCTTTAACTCATTCCATAAAAGCCAAAATGCTCCAAAAAATGGATGTTAAATCGAAGTTAACCATCCTGGTAGATGCATTCCATAAATCCCATGGAGTGTCATGTTCGATTCGAGTAACAGACTTGTTTCGAAATGTTTGGACCAAACATGCACTTGAAATAGCATTCTATAAACCGACATGTCCTGCTGGCTTTCCTCCTGTTTTTTTTACTTGTGACTAGCCAATTCATTCTATAAAGTTAATTTTTGGCGTTTTTAACCATCGAAATCTCAGATCCTTAAACTTGCCGGACCATTCCATAAATATGCCTCAGATTCATTCTATAAAAAAAAGCACCCTCAGAATCATTTTATAAACCAAAATGTTTATAGAATGCAGTCAGCCACAGTCTAGGGCACATTCACGGAGGATCAATATATCATAATGTGTCCAAATTTGTCAACTTAGGTTTTTATTTGTCTTTATTGGTAAATTGTCTTGCTTGATGATTTAAGGCAGAGTAAGGGTATCACAGAAACCGTTTCAAACTGTTTTCCCCTACTTGCTAGGTAATAGTCCGAAAACGTCCGAAACCGTTTCCTACTATTTGCTAATTCACCCTGGCAAAAATTGCAAAAAGGTTCAAACAGTTTCAAATAGTTTTTGAGAATGGCTAAGTAGCAAATAGTCCGAAACCGTTTCAAACCGTTTCCCGCTACTTGCATCTACTTGCTAGGTAATAGTCCGAAACCGTTTCAAACCGTTGCAAACCAATCCCTAGAAAAACCTAGCTTGCATTACTTCTTTAATTTTTATAGATATAATTTATTGGTTATTTTTCAAAAGTTTCCTAAATTTGAATTTATTTCGGAAATAGTTTCTGTAAATTGGGTTTATTTGAGAAATAGTTTCTGCAAATTTGGTTGATTCAAGAAATAGTTTCTGTAAATTGGGTTTATTTAAGAAATAGTTTCAAATATTTTCCAGCTTAGGGTTGGTTTAGGAAATAATTTATGTAAATTGGGTTTATTTAAGACATAGCCTTTGGCCTCCACAGAAAAAGAGGCCAAGGCACTCCCCAAAATAGATATAATTGTATGATATAACTGATAGAACAATGTATGCAAACACATGCACGTATTTTGATGCCGGTGTGTACGTTTGCGTTTGCGCGCGTTTGCGTGTGTGCTGGGATTTGCATATACCACCATACACCAATCTAGTTCCGTAGTTTCTTCACAAAGGTGGAGACGGCGAAAAACTCATTGAAGGAGGCTTTCAGCAAGACAACCTTTATCCTGAGATCCTTGGCACTGTGACTTTGACGGGGTATACAGGCGAACAAGGGCTACATCACATGATCCAACCACTGAATTTGGGGGGTGGGCATGAGTAAGCATGGCACCTGTTCTCAAGTTGGAATGAGATGGGTTTGCATGCAAATAGGATCAAATAGGATCAAATAGGCATCATTTTCCTAGTTGAAGATGACCACAACTGGGGGTGCACCACTTGCAGACATCCCGCACAGCTCAGGAGAGGCATCGGGCTGGCGACATGCTGTTGAGGAGTTTAAGGACGCAGAGAAGGACGCCTTGATGGGGGCGCTATGCCGGGACTGGGGGGTCATCCGGAGACAACTCTAATATGGGCTATAATTACCAACAAATTTGGGAATACGCTCTGGCGATTTCATGAAGCTATGGAAAATCACCATGTTGAACGGGGAAATGTTTTTGTTTTGTATAAATGGGCCATGTTCCATAGCTGTCTTCAATTGCCGGAGGGTATGCGATTAGGATAAACTTTGTGGGATATACTCGTACTGTGATGTACTGTGGCCGTGTGGGAACCGGGATATTCTGTTTGAGCTTTGTGAAATACCGGCCACAAAATAACCAACCGGATCACTCCTCCGAGTAGAACTTTGGATGTGTCGAGGTGCTTCTTGGGGTACACAACGGGGATATCATGGGCCTGTCATGTACTGGGGCCGGGATATATATATAATACTTGATCCAGCCGGTGGTCTCAAATATGTGTTACGGTCAACATGTTTTCACCCATAAACATGACTATAGCATATTATTCAGAAACCTTAATCACCAGCATAGATCACGATACATCAACTAGGAGTGCTTCGAGTGCTGAGTTCCCCAACTGCCAGGCCCTGGAAGGTGTAGCTGCTGCCTGGATGATGACGGCCAAAGCTTCTGACACCTTGCGAGTGTCTTGGTATGTTGCGAGTGTCCGTCAAACAAAACTTGGTTTTCGGTGTGTTTTAAAATAATGTCACCCATATGTACGAACAAAATTACAGATGTAACTGCCATGTCATGATTATCATGGCTTGCTTGTTGAGGTTATCATGAAAGGTATATATATATGTGTGTGTGTGTGTCATCATGCTATGTCATGATATAGGTAAACCAAAAATAAATAAAATAACAACTTCGTTGGTTTCATGATGCCACCACTATGTGAACCACGGATTTTCGGGTGTCCGACAGCAGTGTTGCAGGATGGCCTGCTAAATGCCATGATTGAGCTCGCGGATGAGCGACGCGACTTGGCAGTCAGGCTGGTCAGGCTGTCTGCCAAGTCTGTTTTTTCGGCATCCGGACTTGGCAATTGGCAATAGAAAATCCCTAAGTACAATATATAAATGATACAAAATTGCCATGGATATAAAGTACAGCTCCTTTTGTTTGGGCCAACAACTTGCCCTCAGCCTTAGCTGAACCTTCGGGATGGCGATGGAGAGATGCTGTACTGTATACATACATCGCATTGCATCGCATTAAATTGCATTTCAGACATTCATATGTGTATATATATATGCGTATGTGTGTGAGTGTCTACTGAGTTACTGTATACTTTCACATATGTACATATATATACCCACCCATGTATATATGTTTATTTATACATATCTGTGTGTGCTATGCCCATTTGGAGATCGAGGCGAAGAGCCCAGGTCCATCGGAGCCAAGCTGCTGATGGCGTACTTCCCCGAGGAGCCATTGGGCTTTCGGGGCTTTCGGGAACCATTGGGAACTCCCAAGGTGAGAAGACATTATTGACAGTAGTTGGCAGCTGGGTAGCGATATTAAATTGAAGAATAAAAAACATATTAAACTTAAAACATAGTTGACAGTTCAGTGATGTGTTGGATTGTCCATGAGGAGCGCAACATGTCAACTTGCCAACTTGTCGGCTTGGCATGTTCAGGATCCCGCAACAAAGGAACGACTGGCTGAGTGCGCAAAGTACGATTGGCCCCATGTGACTCGGGCGAAGTGGTAGAGATCCAGCGAAACATTCCCCTTTTTGTGCCCTATTTGTGGCTAGGTGAGTAGCCATCGTTTTTGACTCAAGTTTCGGATCTTCTTGCTTGAAAGATAGAGAACTTGGCTACAGGAGAGGAACTCTAGCACCACTCCTGCCGATCTAAATCAGCTGTGACTTCCGAGGCGGGACAGAAGCTTACTTCCTTTTTGGAGGAGAAACCAGCAATGGAGGAATGTCCCTTGGAAACTTGTGGCTAAGTTGATGATGAACCCTCAGGCAAAAAACATGGGACTCTGGGGTTCCAAAGTCTGAATCAACCCCATACAAGGTCCGCAAACGCCAATGCAAAGCAGAACCAAACTGCTGGGTATTCTGCCACATACCCTTAGGCCCAGGGGGTCTTCAAGAGCTATTGGTGATCTTCACAATTCAGTCGTAGCTGCCAGAAAAGGTTTGTCGCAAACCTTTATACAGCAGCTAAGCCTTATAAGCCTTCCATCGCCTACACTTTGCGGAGTTGGGGCCGCAGATGTCTTCAACCGCAACAATCAACTGCGCAACTTTTTTCAGATGTCTCGAGCCGTAGCCACAGTGCCTAGGCTTGAAGCATTACACTGGAATGGAGCCACTTGCAACAGATGACCTTCCATCTCCGCGCACTCTTGCGGTGAATAGTGCCTCAGACGTCCTGGGGATGCTGGGAAGGACGGGGAGGACAGGCAGGACAGGGATTTTTAAACGTGTTCAACCCAAGCCTGTGGACATGTTCGGTGAGTTTGGTGGGTTTCATCGACCTCTTGAATGATGTCAGGGAATGTTAGGGGAAAAGTGGATTGGTGACGGTTGGTGGTTTCTTTCTTCGACTGGTTCACTGGTTGCTGGTCTTTTCTGTGTGTGCTAAAGCCTCAGTGGCAAACTGAAGAACCCGAAGAACACCTTTGTTTTGTTTCCATTCTCTCTTGAACCTCTGAGGTGTGCGCGGCAAGCCCATTTCACTGCCGGCCATTCACAAATCCCCACGGCGGCGGAGGTTGACAGCAAACCTTCGATATTTTGCAAAGAATCTACGTTTGGAGATTTGTACGAATAAGTATTTGAGCCTAGAGGAGTTTATAAGATGAGCATTTTCTGCTTGCAAATAAACAACTTCTTTTTCAGCCATAAAGATCACAATGTGCCTCAAGATCATTATATAGGTTAGTCTGGAAAGAGGACATCCAAAATCATCAAAATCCCCATCGGTGATCATTTTCCTAGTAAACTTAAGCGACAACTGGAGGGTCGCAGGCGCAACTGCCCTGCCAGGATGAGAAACCGAGAG